CAATGGTAGACAGCCTAAGAGTTTGACTTGGCTTCATTTGAAATCCACCTCTGGAACTTTTTTTCAGCCCTTCTTTGCTCAGACTTGGCTTCATTCCTGGATCAAGCTTACATCCTTCTGTCCTGTATCATTTGTCATGACCCATTTCTTGAAATTCTGATATGGTTTCTTCACTTTGTCAACTGGCGCTTGGTCTCCTAGTAGTCTCGGAGTACCTGGTAGTTAAGAGAATTCTGTTTTTACTCTGTTCACCATTTAAATCCTTTTCTGCAGATGAATGGATGAGCAAAATATCAAATGTATGACCAATCATAGACTGGTGAGTTTGACCAGCAGTGTAAAGTATTAGAAAGCATTATACGAGATGCTATGATGGAACATCTACCACAAAACAGCCTTGTAAAGGAATGCCAGCATGGTTTTATGTCTGGATGCTCCTACTTGACACAATTAAGGTGCTGGATGTGTGGACACAGATCCTGGATCGTGGTGGTAATATTGACAATATACAGTATCTAGACTTTGCCAGGCCTTTCAAAAGTGTACCTCACAGGAGCAAATCCAGGATTTTATGGGAGGGGGGATTCTGAATTTTGCTGGACAGACAAAAACCTGAAAAAATTCTGCCAAATCTTTCACCTTATTCTGCCAAAATCCAAATAAAAATTAAGTGCTTGAAAGTACAGGTGGTACAATTTCATATATTATAGAACTAAATTGTATTTACTCATAAATAACTTAAAAAAAGATCATGATCATAAAACTGCTTAGCAACCCTCTGTACACATCTCAAAATAAAACAAGTTACTATCTTTTTTTCTAGTTGATCAGGACATATTACTTACCAATTTATAGTTATGTGCAGTCCCCTTCACCAGTGTGTTTACAGGGGCTCGTCAGGTTTTGTGCAGTGTGGCAGTCCTGTGTTTGTTTACATTCGACAGAAGGAAACTCATAATAGTAAAGATACTATGGAATCAAAGTAAATATTAAAACAAATATTTCAATGTAATGATTTGTGGAATGTTTATAAGACAAGCCCCTGTAAACACACTAGTTATTTGAAAATGGCATAACAAAAATTTAACTATCATATGATTGAAAAAAAAAATCCTAGCAGCAGCTTGCCAGAATTTCAGTCACATGTTGAGACATGAAGAAAAGAACTTTGCTCAGTGCTTGGAGCATGCCCCCCCACCCTGCCTAAGCTATAGCACTGCCTTTGGGCATTTAAATTTTGTGCCCAGACAAACTCAAAAGTGAATCGTCAGGAAATATTTCCATGTGCAGACAAGAACCCACTCTGTCGTAGACCTGTCCTTGTGCTCTACTGCAGAAAGTATGGATTTTTTGTGGGAAATCTGGAATGATCTATGTGGGAGTGATCACTTCCCAGTCATCCTTCGCACACTTGAGGTGATCGGCCCCAACGGTTTTCCTCGCTGGTATCTGGACAGGGCTGAGTGAGGTCGTTTCAAACTCCTAGCTGAGGTAGAAAGAGAGGTGGAGGAATTCCAGACGATGGAAGAAGCAGTGGAATACTTTACCTCGACACTCCTTAGTGCTGGTGAACAAACCATCCCCAAGACTTCTGGGTTTATAAAAGGTGGCTAGTCCCATGGTGGTCTAAAGAGTGTAGAGTGGCCATAGCAGCCAAATAGAGGGCCTGGTGTCATTACAGGCAGCATCCTTATTAATAATATCTTCTGGAATTTAAGCGGGAAAGGGCTCATGCTCGTAAAATATTAAAGGAAGCACAATGTAAGTCTTGGGCAGAGTTTGTGAACACAATAAACACTCCCACTTCCATGTCAGAAGTGTAGAAGAGCGTGAAAAGGATTACTGGGGAGCATTCTCCATGAAAATAGATGGTGGTGGTGTGGCATTTGAGTCACATGAGGTAACCAGTGTGTTTGCCGAGGAATTTGCGTCTGTATCACAGAGAGGTGGTTACTCAACCTCCTTGCTCCAGCAACAAGAGGCATTAAAGCAGCAAGGTCTTGACTACAATACAATATTTAGCCTTAAGGAGATGGTCTGTTCTTTCCTCGTGACGATACATCCCAGGTCCTGGTGACATCCCTTATGCTATGCTATGGCACATTGGGATTTTAAAATAGCTACATCACTGCGAACTCCGAGGACAGATGCCCCATTTCCTTGAATAATTCATGGCAAACTGTGCCTTTCAGGTCAGTTCATCAGATGGAGGGAACACCACAGGGCACAGTTTTAAGCATGGCCCTTTTCCACCAGGCGTCCCTAGTGCATTACTAATTTTAGCAATTAGTTTTTTGTCATCCCATCTATGTGTTGCTGAGCGACAACTTCAGTTAGCAGTGAATCGTGTGTCCCGATGGGCAGAGGAGTGTGGCTTCAGGTTCTCAACTTTGAAGACCGTTGCCATGCATTTCTGCCCGACTTAACATTATATGGTACCTGCATTTCGGTGGTAGAAGAAACGTGCTTCCTAGGCCACTTAAAACTTCGTGATTAAAAGCCCTAAACCTTCTGAGAGTCTTATCCCACACGTCTTGGGGAGCTGACCGTAGGACCCTCTTAAGACTGTACCATGCTATCAGGGGGTGAAAACTGGTGTATGGATGCAAGCTGTACTAGTCAACCACACCAGCCAGGCTAAAGAGCATTGATACAATGCATCCTGCTGGCATCCATTTGGCCACAGGGTCCTTTAGATCCAACCCCAATAACCAGTCTTCTGGTGGATACTGGATTACCACCACTGGATATGCATTGGCAGTTCCTAATGGCTCACTCCTGGATACTTAGTACAGCATCTCCCTAGATCTCCAACATGGGAGGCCATATCTGATAGGTCCATGGACCCATGCATTCCCTGATCCTTTGGCTTTCGTGTCCAGGAGCTGGTTCACTTCCCCAACTCCTGGTCACCCCAGCGAAAGTGTCAGCCATGGCCCCCTGAGACCTAGCAGACAGTGTTGCCATTTTAGCTATTTTCCCGCCAGATCTAGCTCTTTTACATGTGATCTAGTGGGCAAATTTGAAATCTAGCGGCTAGCTTTTTTTAAAGAAGCCTGGCCGATTCTGAACATTATTAAAGCCGATTATTATAGCATACCGATTTTTTTTTAAATGTACTTTAAACTGCAAGAATTATTTAATGCTAAATTAAAAATTTCCTTTGACACCGTTATGACTGGTTTTGAACGAACGTGTACAGAACGATTTTTGGACGAACCAGTTCAAGACGCGATTGCCCTGCCCACTCTTCGCCCCTCTCGATGCTGCGGCTGGTCAGTTGAGACTTGCGTGTCAGTCCAGTTACAGCAAGAGATTGCAGTTGAAAAAAAAAGTGCGTACACTCTGCCTAAGTCACAGTGTAAACAGAAATTTAGGAGGGAATGGCTAAATGATCCTACAGCACACTGCAAAACTGGTTAATTGAAAAAAGGAAAGGTTCTGGAGAGTGTGCGCCTCAGTGCAAGTTGTGTCAATGTGTCCTTACTCCAAAAATGAGTGATCTGAAAGTGCATGCACTCACTAAGAAACACAAATGAAGTATAGTTTTATTGGCTGACAGTGGCAGACAACTTTCATTACCCTTTCAAAGTGTGATGAAAAGTGAAAATGAGAAAACAGCTGAGCCTAGCTGCTCATACCTCCATCGTAGCATGTGATCACATGAGCTGTTTGTGCAAGAGAATTTTCACCGACAGTAAAATTGCATCTAAAGTTCAGATCAAGAGGTCTAAGTGCAGTGTCATAATAAACAACGTATTGTTCCTCATCTCAAGAGGGTATTACTCAGTCGAGTGATCAAATCTGGACCTGGCAGATGCCAGCCTCACTAGGGGTCACAGCTCAAGGTTGAAGAAGTCACATGTTTAGAAAATTGTCAAAGCAAAATTTTTCCGAGTGAGAATTGTAAACTCTCAGAACAATGCCGGAGAGCCTTGTGATAGCACTGAGTTTGAGCTCATTGAAGAACAGACTTGACTATTACTGGTGCAGGTACAGATATATTCTAGAGCCAGTACATGCTCAGTATTTGCCAAAAGTGTGTAACAGAGGTGTGATTGATCGCCTAAGCGGCTAACAAGCCGATCAGTGGCAAAGAGGAAAAAAGTAAAAAGTAAAAAAGACCACAGGGCATGGCTCGGTAAATAAGGTCACTGGTTACGAGAAATTACACAAGAAAGGTCAGGGCAATAAACAGTTACTAGACTGGTATGATCCCCACTGACTGTTCCCTCTTCCCTCAATAAGCTAACATGGTTTTTATTAGTTTTGATGAAAATACTTTTTTCAAGAAAATTTTATAACAAAATATGTTTTAAGAATATTACGGTGAAAATTTGTCCTCTATTTAATGTTCCATTATTATTATTAAAGTGTGAGTGTGTGAGTGTGTGTGAGTGTGTGTGTGTGTGTGTGTGTGTGTGTGTGTGTGTGTGTGTGTGTGTGTGTGTGTGTTTTCATTATTCTTACAACTCATCACAGTCGACCTCCACATGAATAATAATGAAACTAATGTATATCAACGTTGGTGGTGAGATGGGTATGTATTAAAGCCTGTGTTTTGTTTGGGAACATCTCTTTGTTTAAACTCCAGTACATAAACAAGAATAAATGAGTGTGGTGTTTGTTAACCTTGAGTGTGTGTGTGTGTGTGTGTGTGTGTGTGTGTGTGTGTGTGTGTGTGCATCATTTCAATGACAAATCCTATTTCAAACAAAACTGGCAAAAGTTGCTCTAAAGAAGTTTGTATTTGCAGCTTTAATATACTGTACTGTATATGTAAATACAGGTACCTATGAATCTTCCTTTTGAAACAAAATGAATTCAACCTTAATCTACAAGACCAAGTGATCTGGCATATGGTGACATTTCCTACATAACAATACAGTACTACAATAAACATGAACTATATGTGAAAGATGTACACACAAAATTTATGATAACTCAAAACATATTTTACTGAACTTGTGATTTTATGCAGCAAACACTGGAACACTCACCTCTCTAAGTTGTCTGAATATTGACCGTTTTCTAATTCTGTTGTCTTATGCCTAGTCATCCATGTCAACAATTTGTGAACTGTTGCCCAAATTATTTTGTACGTCACAGTGCTGAGGAAACCTTGTTGGACCCAGTGTGACAGTGGAGGTAGTGGATGATGTTGAAGTGTCAATTGAACCTCGAGAAGCCATTGTACTTGGTCCAGGGCTCTCATGGAGGACTTCCTTCCATCCTACTCTCTTGGTGCTTGAAGACTCTACTTTACAGATATCCGGTGTTACAGAGGTCCAATTTGGTTCTTGGTAGGAAATACCCCAATACCCTACTTGTTCACTAATACTGTTATGTCTGGAGCAGCCTCTACCAATAGTGCTTGATCTGGCATAATATATAGGAAATTCATGTGCTCTACCATAAACAACTCTATGAGGTTGTGGAGTTTGAAACAAGGTTTTACTACAAAGGTCATTCTGGCAGCAGATAGCTGTTTGCATTTCCATACAAGGGTCGTGGTTAATACAACGCAGGCTGTTGGAGGTGTAGTTGTGGGCTGAGTGGGAGCGCTGCAGGGTGTTGTATGGTGATCTCTTAAGACAACTTCTGCGAGGCTGAAGGGTGGCATATCCTACAGGAATATCTGCAAGATAATTTCTTTAAACAAGTTTATTTCCTAAAAACAAAAAACAGGTTAAGAGGTAGGATGACAACATTCAAGATGATTACTCATGATAATAAACAACTTAACAAACTTGAGTTTGGTCTGTAGAAGTTTCCTTGAGCAATTAAATGGATTTGTCACTTTAAGCTGGCTCAGGTAACCATATGTGCTCATCTCCTGTATTCAATGGTGGAGTCATAAAAAGTTGCTGATACAGAAAAATTAATATAGCTCTCCTTGAGGTTTAAAGCATTCCTGCATATTAATAAGAGGTGGGTGAATGCCTTATGTTTAAAAACAGTTGTAAGTTGTAGATGGATGAAAAGATGTGAAAGAGCAGGAAATTCCACAATGTGTTATCTTATATTTGTAATTGATAATCTATGTTGATTAATTCTAAGTTCAACGATGACAGACATGCACCAGCTACACAAATCATATCAATATGCCTCTCGGATGGAGAAATCATTATCATCTCCAGTGATTTACAGCCATTTTCCAAGCTTTTATGGGTTTGCTGTGATTACCTGATGACAGCTTTCCATGCAGCACAGTCTCCTGCATTCTCTTGTCAGATTCTTTACTCTAATTATAATTTCTTACAACTTTTTCCCATGTCATTCTTGGCCTGCCCCTGGCTCTCCTCCCTTCCACATTCAGACTCATGCATCTCTTGACCCAGTTGATCACATCCATTCTCTTCACATGCTCAAATCATCTCAGCATGCCTTAACACAAAACTTTCTACACCCAGCCATCCTCGTAGTTTGAATAGGGCCTCCCGTCTTTCAGTGTTACGTCGCACTTCCACCTCACCATTCTCATTTCAGCTCGCTTAAGCATATTATATGTCATCCTCCTTAACTGCCTACTTCTCACAGCCATACATCACACTTCTCTCACCAGCTATATACATCCTTCCTTTTATATGGAGGGAAGGTTTTCTTGCTGCCAATAAAGACAGAAATTACCTAAACTCTTGCAACTGAGCAGGATCAGCACCCACACTGCTATTGTAATATTAATGAACATTTCTTGACAAATTTTTGTTGTTAAGACATTAAGATAAACACAAATGTATCGTTACTTACCTGTAGCAATTGACTGTCTACAATTGGCATCACAGCAACTTGAAGTAGAAGTTGAAAGCTGAGCAGGATTCAGACTTGAATGGAATGACAATTCTTGTCTATGTGGCTGACTATAATTTGATGATTGTAACTGTTGTTGGGAATATGGTAAGGTATGTGGGTAATGATGGTGCTGTTCTTGTTCTAACTGCAGCTGAAGATGTGGCTGGCCATGGTATATAACTTGTGTTGCTGGCCTTGATGTCTGGCATGAAGAGGGCAGTTGTCTTGGTGAAAAGTCATCAGAGTCACTGCTTTCTTCAGATGACAGAGATGCTTGTTCTGTTTCTGAGGTGGGTTGATGTGGTTCCTGTTTTGGCAGTGAAGGATGATGACTACTTGAAGCTGTTGGGCACACATCAGGGTTATTTGAAGAATGGGCTGATGGACTTCTTTCTCTTAAAATCTGTTTATCAGATTTTGACGGGCTGCCAGGAGCAAACAATTTTTCTGGAGGTAATTCACCCTTGTCAAGAAGTATTCTGTTGCTGTTAAGATTAATCCCTCCATTTAGTAAAGGGCTTGTGCTTCTTGATCTGCTGCCTCTACTTAATGGTGGTGTAGGAAGAGGCTCTGAGGGTTCACTGGTAACATATGGCATGACACGGCTGGTCTGTTCACAGTTGTCCACTATTGTCTGATGCTCAAGTGACTGAAAAATATAGAATCTATAAAAGCAGTTTAAGAGAGGGAGACCTTAGCATTTTATACACATAATTAAGAAATATAAAATTTTTCTGCACAATGTTTAATGTTTGACATTATTCTCATTGATAATGGCTAATCAGTTACTCAACTTATGAATGGAAAAAGGTTCCCAGTGGAGTGCAACAACTCACAAGGCTCTATCCTTGGACTCCACTTTGTGATCTACATAAATGACATACGAGTACTTTATATGAAAATACATTAAGCCACATTGTCAAGTTTGCTTTGCAGCGACACAAATATATTTGGGAAGGTAGCAAGTCAAGACAAAGTTGCAACAATGCACAAAGACCTGCAAGAGCTGTTCAAATGACTTTGAGACTGGCAAATGCTCTTTTAACATTATGAAATGCAAGAACCTACATGTAGGATACAACAACCCTAATCACAACTATTCTGTTAATAACACTTTCCTGAATACTGTTGATAAGGAGAAAGAATTAAGTGTTGTGATATATTATTCACTGAAGGCGGCACAACAAGTGAGAAAAGCAAATTGATATTTCAGGATTATAAAGTGTACCTTCAAATGCAAAGATAGGAAAATGCTCATTCAACTGGACAAATCTCAAGTACATCCCAGTCTGGAATACTGTAAACAAGCATGGAAACCCTGCCTCAAGAAAGATCTAACATCCCTAGAAAAGGTGCAACACAGAGTGACTAAGATGATTCCGGAACTATGTCATCTCGATTATCCAAATAGACTGAGTGCATGAGGACTAACAACCCTTCCTGACAAGACTCAATAGTGCAGATCTTATTGAAACCTTCAAGATCTTGAAAGGGATGGAAAACACGAACCCGGGACATTTTCTGGTCATGTCACGCACCACCAACACGAGAGGACAAAACTACAAGCTCATCAAATTATCATGCTTGAAGCAGAGGAGGGAGGAGTCGAGGAGGAACGGGGATGGGTGAACATGGGTTATATCCAGGGGGAGGGTAGTGGAAGCAAGAGCACCGACACAAAGCCAGGGGGCAGCGGTACACCCTCCACCCACTCTACCCAGGAGGAGTCACCATCTCTACCTCCCACCCAGGAGGAGGCAAGCGCCAGGTAAACAATGACATTTCTAACCACACCCTGCAAAATACAGTATATTTAGCAAATGATGCAGCTGCTGAGAATGGAGGAGGTCCGGAGTTACGATTAAGAGCAGAGACGTTACCGAGAACAAATTCTGGCTTGAATGTCATGTACACTAATACTGACACGTTCCTTGATAAGAGAGAGGAGGTTGAAACACTACTTAAGGTACACCAACCCGACATACTAGGAGCTGTAGAACTGTTGTACGAGAACAGGAGAATCGACCCAGAGGAATGTGAGATCAGTATTGACGGATATGTCTTATTGACGAACCTTTCTCAAGAAACTTGCAAGAGGGAAGTGGTTAACTATGCTAGGCAAGACCTAAGAGCCAGCCAGGTGAGGGTACAGGGATAGGATGTTTTTGAAGAATCCAAGTGATGTAAAATTAAATTAAAGGGAGGAGACTTACTTAATGTCGGGTGTATCTACAGACCACCAAACTGTAGCTTACTAAATCAAAGGAACATAAGAGCCTTAATAGACACTGCAGCGATGCTCAACCCTAGCCACCTCCTTATCATGGGTGACTTTAAATATAGAGACATTGACTGGAGAAATGAGTTCATGCCAAATGACTTAAATAACCGCGCTACTCTTTTTGTAGAAACTCCGAGAGATAATTTTATTTTCCAACAGGTTAAACACCCGATGCATTACAGAGGGGAGCAAACACCCAAGCCACTGGACCTCATCATAACAAATGAGGAAGATATGGTGGCCAAACTGGAACATCTAGCTCCAGTTGGCACCAACCACCATGTAATGTTGTTATTAAGATTTAACTGTTACTTAGTTCACAACAAAACCAGGCCAATGTGCAAATATTACAAGGGAAATTACGACGGGATGAGGGAGGAGATGAGAGGTATCCACTGACCTGACTCACTAAGGTATAAGAACGCAGACATTATGCTGAATATCTTAGCTAGTAAAGTGAACCATTTGATCGAGAAATATATACCCAAGATCAAACACAGTGCCTCCAAGAATACAAGGAGACCCCTACACATTAACCATGCGGCGATCGACAAAGTTAAGAAAATCCCCCAGAAATTCAAGGCGTGGGTTAGGTCAAACAATGAGCAGGACAGAAGGATGTACGCAAGAGCCAGGAACCAAGTAAAGTCAGAGTGTAGAAGGGCTGAAAAGGAGTTCCAGAGGCTGGTTGCAAGCGAGGTCATGTCAAACCCAAAGGTGTTTTACCGCTATGCAAAGTCAAAATTAAAAAAGAGAATAGGAGTATCGGACCCGAGGCTTGAAGATTCTGACCAGGACATAGCTGAGGCATTAAACAGTATCTTTTTTTTTCGGTGTTCACAAGAGAGGATGCGATCAATCTTCCTGGATTTGAGGGCAGACAGTTCGACACAGCTCTGACCCACATTGTGTTCACAAGAGATTACAAGAAATAAACTGTCAAAGCTAAAGGTTCATAAGAGTCCTGGCCCTGACTTGGTGCATTCTAGAGTGCTAAGAGATTTGAGCAACGAGCTTGCTGAGCCCCCAAAGATCCTGTTCTGTAAATGCCTGGATGAGCAAAAGGTCCCCATTGATTGGAAAATGGCTTATGTGAGTCCTATCTTCAAGAAGGGCGATAGTCACTCCACGAATAACTATAGACCGGTGAGCCTGACCAGCATAGTATGTAAAGTATTTGAGAGCATTATAAGAGATGCCATGATGGAACATCTACTACGAAACAATCTTGTAAAGAATTGCCAACACGGTTTTATGCCGGGGCGCTCCTGCTTAACACAATTAATCAAGATACTGTGTGTTTGGACACAAATTCTGGAATAGGGTGGTATTATCGAAAACATATGCTGTACCTAGATTTTGCCAAGGCTTTCGACTGCATACCCCATGAAAGGCTGAAAATTAAACTGGAAGGGTATGGGATTCGGGGAAATGTCCTAGTGTGGATCAGAGACTTTCTCCATGACCGCAAGCAGTTGTGTGGTGATTATGCAACATCAATATGCAACATCTATGTGGAATAATTTGAAATTTTCTGGTGTCCCTTCAGTAGGCCACATCCCCCCCTTTGTAAATGTCTAGATCTGCCACTGCTGCATTGTCTAAATACATGCTAATTTGTATACGTACCTGCATTTTGTATGCGAATGTCGAATTAATGTAAAATTGTATGATTTTACCAAATTAGACTTAAGTAAACTGAATCTGAACAACAGGTCTCACCGAGTACTTTGGGGGAGAGAAGACATCAACAGAGGTGAGAGGGAGCTCATCACCATGGTTAGATTCTCCATATGTAGGTGTATAAACATCTAAGGTGGTTGTCTTGCTTGAAGAAGCTGGGATGATGTAAGAACATTACATTAATAAATTGATAAACTGTATGAAATACATTCATGTCAATCGTATCAAAAAAAAAAACTTCTGCAACATCTTCTCATGTATTAAGTGGTGAAGAACACCTTTACACTTACCAACAAGATGCATGGGTGTGCTTTAATTAACTATACTGATAATATTAATGTATTGTGTTTTATTACCCTTTTGTGGAAGTCATAAGTTTTCTTAAAGCTGCCTACACTTTCTGAAATGGTAACACTGGACAGAAAAGTCTGTTCCAAGGATCCCTGGTTCAATGTGTGAAGGAATACTTTGAAATGTTTTCGCCTTCAATAATCATCAAATAGGAGGTTCATCTTCAATGCATATAATCATTCACTTACTCCTTTGAGCTCTCCCGCAACATCATTGTTTTACACCCATTTTCCACACTTGTGTGGGTGAGCTGTGGTTACCAGATGGCAGTTATCCATGCTGAAAAGTCTCTTGCGGTCTCTCTTCTCAGGTTCTTAACTCTAATGCCATTTCTCAAAACCTTTCCCCATGTCATTCTTGGCCTACCCCTGGCTCTCCTTTCCTCCACAATTAGGCTCATACACCTCTTGACCCAATTGTTCTCATGCATTCTTCCCACCTGCCCAGACCATCTCAGCCTGCCTCTATGCAGGACTTTGTCAATACTCAGCCATCCTCTTAGCTCTGAGCAGGGCCTCCTGCCTTTCAGTGTCACATTACACATCCACCTCACCATTCTCATTTCAGCTTGCTCAAATCTACTTAAATCTTCTTTAATTGTCCATATCTCACTACTATACAACATCACACTTCTCACACCAGCCACATACATTCTTCCTTTGACTCAGAGGGAAGGTCCTCTTGCTGTTAATAAAGGCAGTAGCTCCCTAAACTTCCTCCAGCCACTTCTGACCCTCGCAGATAAGAAGGCTTCAGCATCCCCACCGGCACTGATCATGTCACCCAGGTAACAGAACTCCTCGACACAGTCCATGCACATATCCACAAAGATGAGTTTCTCGAGCATTGCTGTGGGCACATGGTTACCTGCACACTATAGTCAACAACATCCTGCAGTCTACCACCTACTCCACTGCACTTATTGTGTACCCATTATCTTCCACACTCTTTGCACATTATTGAGTTGCTGCCAACACCTTCCTTGCAGACAACACCTGGCCATTTTCACATTTCCACCATGGGTCCCTCACCCACCCCACAAATCAATACTCTGTATTTTTGTTTTGGGCACATTCACTCTCAAGCCCTTTGACTCTTTTCCATCTTTCCAATTAAAAAATTTCTCTACTCCCTCTTTAACACTTATCTGCTATCAGCTCTAAGTCATCAGTATTCAACAACTCTAAGGACAGGCCAGTCCTGAAGTATTGTAATATGATATTGCCTCCAGCATCATGATAAATAGAAGGGGGTTCAAGAAAGACCCCTGATGGACTCCAGCATGGTATTATTAATTTTTTCTCATTACACTGTCTGTATCTCAACATAATTCTTAACTTCGAACTTATGAGTAATCTGGATGAAGGAATCAGGTCTGTTATGCTCTGCATTCCGATACTGTACAGTACAGTAAACCCTTGTTATTTGCAGTAAGCAGATGGTGGCTAGCTCACTAGCCTCTGCTGGAGCACCGAGTCATGCCCACGTCTCCTCTCCCTTGTTTGTGCTCAACCATTGTCCGCGCTGCAATAGCTCGTGTTGTGCTCAAAATTTTAGTGTTTTTTGTGTGAAATGGCCCCTATAAGACTGCCTAGTGCTAGTGCTGTTTGTGCAGTGAAACATGCAAGGCAAAAATCAGTGAAGACCCGAACGAAGAAAGTTCAATTATTAGATAAGTTAAAGGAAGGAATGAGCGCCACTCGCCCATCTGATTCATCTCCCTCACCTCATCGGTCAGCCGCTGCCGGTCCACTGCCTGCCTACCCACCGCCTGCCTTCCCACTGCCTGCCTTCCCACCGCCCGCCTCCCCACCAATGCATCACCCACCAACTTTAATCCTGATAATCTCCCTTTACTGCAATAACCAGACTTCATCCTGCTATACAGTACATTTCATCAAGTTCTAAACTTCCACATATGAATGTAAATAGTATGGGTGACATAAGTTTCTCATACAGTAGTGCACTATGATAGTATATGTTGCCATTCACGGTTTTGTCCATTCACGCCACTCCTTGGAACCTAACCCCAGCAAATAACAAGGGTTTACTGTATTTGCAGTTAAAAAAAAATTATATAAAATAAAGTCCAGCACCTCTTCTTGCATTACTCTGACAGCCCCAACCTTACAGCCTTTTCTCCTTTCTAGGTAAGACTCATTCTTTTTCATACATGGCGAAGCAAATTAAATCGTCCACCATGAAAATTCTCTTTCTTTTTTATTGTCCTGAATTACCTCTCTCATATTCTGCCCAGCCATGCGTACCCGCAGTACTTGTCGTAGGCGGTTACAGGTGCACCGCCTACGTCCGAGACCAGTCCTCCAAGTTCTGATTTACCTGATATGTTTAATTTTATGGCTCGACGTCTGACAAAGCAAACAATTATTGAGATATTAAGGACTAGAAGGGCAGTGCCGGTGAGAGAGATGAGAAGCAGGATGAGGCGAGGCAATCTTGGCTGATGACCACCTACGGTGCTACTGCTGGACACTTCTTTCATCACATCTGTGAAGAAATGGATGAATACAGTCAATAAATCTGCAAGACAATTCACAACTTGATACCACAGTCACATAATGCTATGTTGCTTCTCTGACTATTAATTGCATTTTGGTTTCTATTTAACTTTTGTTTTACATAGTGAACTTTCATAAAACTTTACTAGAGATATCCAAAAACTGATACAAATGTGCTGGACTGAGTGAACTTGAACAGAAAGTAACTAAATAATATGGTCAATGAAAAGGAGCTAGGTGTGTATGTTGACAATGAGCTGAAGTTATCAGGCCACTGTGAGAAGAAGGTGAATCAGGCAACTACGAGTTGGGATCCAAAAGTTCCCGTACTGGCTTCATAAAATCTTTATTTTTCAACATATTACATGTACAGTGAAACTTTAGTCACCCTCAACATATTCCCCAGAGGCCTCAATGCAGTGCTGAATCCGCTCTTCCCACTTCTGGAAGCAGATCTGGGAGTCCTCATTAGTGAGGCTGAAGAGCACCTTCTGTAATTCTTCCTGGATCTCCATTCTGTCCATTAACTTCTTCCCTTTGAGGTTCAACTTGAACTTCAAAAACTGCCAGACCTCACGGGGGGCCTGATCTGGAGAGTACGGAGGGTGGGGGAGACCACAGGAATGCTGTGCTTTACCAGAAAATCATTCACAGAGAGGAGAGAGTGTGCACAGATGAATTGTCCTGGTGAAGCAGCCAAATGCCGGTCGTTAGTCAGAATCCGTTAACATTTCCAAATGAGAGGTCCCGCTTGGCAATCTCATGGATGGTAACCCTACGATCTTCATGGACAAGCTGGTCATTTTTCTGGACGTTTTCATCATTTCTCTCAGAGGAAGGCCGCCCAGAACAATGCTCATTTTCAAAGAAGGCGAACCCTTCTTTGAAGCTCTTGTGGCCCCCTGAAAACTTGAGCCCTGGACATTGCTCCATCTTTGTAGGCTTCCTTGGTTATTTTATGGGTGTTTGCACCATTTTTTCTCGAGTCTGAAGCAAATTCTAATGGTGCAGCATTTCTTGATACTTCCCTCCATGTTGAGGGTTGAGTGGCGACTGACTCTACTAAGCAGATGGGCCGGTATACATACTCACACAAAGCTGCATTACGGCCGGTTGGCATCACAGATTCCCGCCAAATTGACACAGTAAACAACTTAAACCCAAGGTGAGTAACTGCTGATGATTGTAATTCGATATCTGCAAAGAGAAAGGTTTTATGAAGCCAGTCCGGGAACTTTTAGATCACACCTCGTAAATTATTAGGTCTTATAAGAAAGTCGTTCAGATATCTAGATGGTCCGTCCCTCTTAACAATCTTCAAGAGTGAGGTATTTCCCCGTCTGGAGTACTGTCACCCCGTCTGGTCCCCAAGATATGCTAGGGACTGTCAGTTGAATGAAAATATCCAAAGGAGGGCCACCAGACTGGTGTCTGCACTTCGGCATCTCAGCTACCCTGAGAGCTTAGAGCGCCTGAAATTGCCTAGCTTATATTACAGACGGGCAAGGGGGGTACCTAATTGAGGTGTATAAACATCTCAAAGGGCACTACTCGGTCGAGTGTCCTTACCTGGAGCTGGCGGATGCTCGCCCCACAAGGGGTCACAGCTCAGGTTGAAGAAGCCGCAAGTCCAGAAAACTGTGAGGGCTAACTTTTTCAGAGTGAGAGAAGTTGTGAACTCTTGGAACAATCTGCCAGAGAGTGTTGTGATGGCACCAAGTGTGAGCTCTTTCAAGACCAGACTTGACACGCACTGGAGCAGGATCAGATACATTCAGGAGCCAGTGCATGCCCAGTACTTGAAAACAGTGCGTAACAGAGATGTGACCGATCGCCCAAGCGGCTAACGAGTCTATCAGCGGTGAAGAGGATAAAAGTAAAAGGAAAAACAAAACTTTAAATCATTCAATACCATCTATATAATCTTCCCCAAGTGCCAGAGATTTGATTCACTTCTTGGTATTCAACGTAAAGCAACAACTGGGTTAGTTACCTAGCATGGTGACTGTTATAGGTGGGGAGCTATAGTTTGAATGGCCGTTCTCATTGTAGGCCGAGATGGTGAAGGAGTATTCAGCACCCGGCAACAGACCCTTAAGTGTGGAAGTTACTGAGTCACTGCCAGGAACATCTACAGGCTGTAGATGGAATGAAATTAAATGTATTAACAATCTCTTAAACAGCACCTGTGAATAAATGTTTATGGGAAGTTTTTGCATATCTAACACTTCCCTCTATCAGTTATACCTTATTCTGCCTTCATGTGTACAAGCAGGGTAGCATTAAGACAGCTTAGCCTAGGGCTCCAAGCATTTTATCATTAAGCCCCCTTTTTTTCCTTGAAAAGTGAAAGAAAGAACTTTCCAAGTTCAAATATAGACCAAAATACTTGATAACAAATTCAAGTAATGACAATTAAGATCATCATAATACATATACGATATTTGTGACTAAAATTTGTCTTTTTCGGTAATTATTGATGACTAACCCGTGGCCGAAATTCACAGAAAATGGAGAGCCATGGCATCGAGGAAGTGATGAATGATTGTTTCAAATCAACAACTGACCTAGCACACAAATCTATTTCTATTTCACAGTACTATATTGCTGTGAAAAGTAATTTCTACTTAAAGGAACGATGCCGTGGTCTTTGAAAAACTAACGGGTCTCATTGTCTTTATCCCTAAATTCACAAATTTCGACCATATAAGACCGGCGACAACTTTCACACGTCATGGTGAAAATGAAACTGTCACGGCTGCCAGGAAGACTCTCTAGAGAGTAGCCTCATTACCGCCGAGAAGACAAAGTAGTGCTCGCCTCGGCGCCTAATTATCTGCCAAACAAAGCATTTGCACAAGAAATAATTCATCATAGAATTCACTGATGAAAATGAAGTAAGAAAATAAACAGCAAAACAAATAATTCGTCCATGGGTCAGTCACCAATATTAACCTCTTTTTCTTATGACACTGGTACTATTATGAATCATTATTTATTAAGATTAATTTGAATAATGAACTGTGACATACTAAAGAGCAGTGGTGCTTAACTTTTTTTTGCAAGAGGACCAAACTTAATGTCTAATAGTATTGGGGGGAGAGGTTCGGTATGGGATTTGGTATATAAAATATAGGTTGGGAACACAAGACTTTAAAAAACACTAAATATCATATATAACACAAAAATATACAGTACACACAGATATTGTACAAAAAGTAGTTCTGTGTTACATAAACAGCTTCTTCCCTGGTTGGCTGGGTGGTCAGCTGTTTCTCTATGTAAACAGATGACCTGAATTTCATGACAATTATATAATTCATCTGAGGTGGAGCGTGAGATAGTTTTTTTTTTTGGAGGGGGGAGGGAGGGAGGGAGGGGAAACTGATAATTTATGATAATATTTTATAAACCAGGCACCAAATGAGCCTAAATAATATGGGAAATCTGGTGAAATTACACAGTGCTGTTTTAATAGGGTAGGGTTAACGGAAGTCTCACAGAGGAGAACTTTTGCTATGTCATTTTACCCTACCTACAGTACAGGTATCCCCCACTTTACGGAAACTCATGCCGACATATTCTCCTAGTCATTTCATGTCACTCACAAATGCCATCATAAATTCTTCTCTAAGTTACATCATTCATTAACACTAACCTTGTATATATAAGTACCAGTTTGTTGGTACCTTATTGTGAAACCAGTAGCTTGTGCTCCAAGAATGTTATTCGTCCACATCACAACAGCAGTGGTGGAGGAAACACTTGTGACCTTTCATTGGAGTAAAGAAATATCATATTGACTAATAAAATTGATAATTACACTCAAACAAGGTGTCAACAGTGTCATGGACTTGGAGGCTTATGAATAATAATTTCCTATATCAAAGACTACCGTCATCTCCTAAGTTTCCCTCACCTCCTCATTCACTGCAGCACCTACCACACTGGAGGTCTCCACTCACCTTTCATATTCCCTGAACAACTTGTCTACCTCATACATCCTCAATCTCGTTATTTAAACTGTATTCTCATTTCAAACACGCCTTTAGAGATAATAGACTCCATAAATATCCATTTACCTAATGGCCACCCACTAGAGGTGGCCATGCCAAGGGAAGGAGGCCAGTGGCCTGTTGTTACAGCATCAAGATAACCAAATACCACCTGGCTGAGCTATTGAGTGACCTACTATGGACTAAATGGGTTGTTTGTTCACTGAAGGCACACATCTACAGTAGACACTCGCCAACCGCGGATTCCGGGTATCCACTGTTTTTACTCTGTACAGCAGTGGTTCTCAACCTTGTTTGCCCCATGCGCCCCTTTCACCATATGTCAGAATGTCATTCCCCCCTCCTTTCCAAGATTGTCTGCCTCAAAAAGTGCATTCCAAATAATATGCATATAATACTGAAAATCCTTTGTTTTTTCCATATTAGTACATATACATTTACAATTTTACATGGATTATTTTTATAGTGGAGTTTTACAAATTAAATGCCAATTGAAAATGTTGATGGATTTATATAACTTGAATAAAAGTAAATTAGTTTTTTTTAAACTTATGAATTACTTAAGACCAAACTGAAGCATAATGCAATAAACAAAAAGTTCAATAGAATACCAGGATATTGTAAATTTGTAATTAATTTTATTCAGATGAAGATTACAGTCAATGAGAAACCTGTGATTGTTTTTTCTTCGCCAATTCTGGGATACGCGGAGGAGTGCTTGAAAGGGCACAACGCAGGTCATTTTCTACCTCTAATCTACTACGTTGCTTCGTTTTAATTTGCAACAGAGTTTAAAAGCCTGACTCACAAAGATATGTCGACACAAACGGAAGCAATGCACGGATAGCTCTTTCTGCCACTTTTGGGTAGGAATCGCACATCAAGGGCCAAAATTCTGCAATTGATTTCTCATCGAACATATCTCTTGTTCCCGAATCAGTTTTCCCCCCCCCCCTGAAAACCTGAATTCCCCCCCTGGGGGGAATTCCCTCCTGGTTGAGAACCCCTGCTGTACAGTATACCATTTCACCGACCAAAACATGAATTTTGAGTATCCGTAGATTAGTGTGGCGTCTTTATCCCTCCACAGTCTAATGTATTCCTCCATAAATGTGAGAAATTAATAAAAATAATACCAATAAATAAAAAGAGAAAAATTCTGCATTGCCATTGCTCAATCGCTTCCGTAAGGACATGGGAGACAGGAGCGCACTCCCCCTTTCCCAAACCATGGGCTAACTTCTGCAAAAGTTAGAAATTTTTTTCTCTATGTTTTTGACCTTATAATAATCATTACTTTTATTTATTTTTTTGCAAATTCTGTATGAACGTTTGTGTGTGCATCTAACAGTAAAAAGAAAATACAGGTATACACCAATAACCAGCACATATGGTGATTGAAAAGTCGTTGGTTAGTGAACCAACGGTTATCAAGTTATTAACCCCATAAGAATATAATAAATTTGGGAGGTTAAGGACCAGATACCCCCTAAAAACTCCCATCTACCCTTGATATATCTGTCATGTGCACTGTCATGCAAGAAAATAAAGCAGACATATAAAGCAAGCATAATAAGCATTAAATAAGGGATGTAAAGCATAAATTGAGACTATTATTTACCTGTGTTGAGGATGGTAGACAGTCGAGAGTCTGCTCTTAGGGGCAGCATAAGAACTATCACATGGATGTTTATTGTTTAGGCATGATTGCATAACACACAAAGTCGAAAATAATGAAAAAAACAAAATCGGACACACATTTACCAACCAAGGAGATTTTCGGGGACTTCACCCACGCGGTTAGCGAGGGACTACTGTATTTCAATGTTGTATCTCTTTAATAATAAAATAGTAATAATAAATATAATATTAATTCAGTAAAGCTGTCATACAGGTTACAGTTGGATAGGCATGTAGTATGTAAACTATACAGGTATACAGGTCAACATGAATATAAACAATTGAGGTATACAGTGCTTGTAGGCTGTGGGAGTACTGTAATGTATAGTTTCTAATGTGTTTAGCCATCAACAGCATCTAGCACCAATAAGACAACAATAAAACATTGTAATACTCACATTCAGTATTGTTGGAGCACTGGGGATGATGGGGGGCCTGAGGGTGAAGGTGGTGGTGTATGAGCCCCGAGAGTTGTGGGCTGTGCAGCTATAGTTAGTGTAGTCCAGCACAGTGACACTTCGTATCTCCAACAGTGATGACCACTCCATCACTTTGTCCACCAACTGATGAGATAAAAAATAAATAAAACATAGGCAATGTTAATAGAAGGTGGTTCTTGAATGCTTTCACCAAAATTATAGAAATTCTCACTATAAAAACTAACCAGAACCAGTTCTGTGCCGGTGAAACATGTCACTACTTGGTAGAAATTATATCACCGATATGCATGAAGATCTGGACATTAAAATCTGTCATTTTTGTCTAAAATACACATTAGAAACATAATATGTAATAAGCTTATATGAAAGAGATCCAGTTAACCTGCGGGACGTGGATGGAATACTTTTTGGTGTTAGAGAGCACTTGGCCGCTGCTGCTGCTGGTCCACCTGAAGGTTGGTGGTGGTGATGCTCTCATGCGGCAATCCAACCAACCACTGTCCCCTACTGCTGCTCGTGAACTGCCCCTCTCCTGCTCTTCCTCCTCTGTGTTACCAGTGGCTACAACTGGTGCTTCTGTGAGGCAACAGATCAAATAGATCCCAGTCATAAAAGGTTATAAACTCTGCCCTAATAAATCTCTACTATGCCTCAACCTAACAATTAGTATTGAGGTACACAATCCAACAATGATATACATCATTCAATATTGTACACTTGAACTCTACTACAAGTTATGGATCTACATTTACCCAAACTAACAAATCTTATCTAGCTTTCAGTTGTTTGCAATTTGTTGTAAATTTCTTGCATAATGAAGGTTGTAAGATTCTCAACTTCATAATACAGGACACTTTTTTTAGGGGGTCAAAAAGAAACAAAATATTTGTTGACTTTTCCTTGAAAATTAAATACAGTACCTGTAATAACATTTAACTTTAAACAAAAAAATTAAGTGAAGATTGTAAATACTGTAGTTATTTGGCAGGCAAAAAACAGCAAGAAACAAAGCATTCTGGGGCATATACATATAACCAGATTGCATCGTAATGCAGAGGGAACAGCACACAGAACTCCTGAGGAGCTTGAAGCAGATGAGGGAGGATTTGATGAAAAACAGGGATGGGTGTGGATGGGTTATACACAAGGGGAAAGTAGTGGAGACAAGTACACCAGTAGAGAACCAGGGGACAGCTAGACACCACCTTGACTTCTCACCTAAGAGGAGGCGAGCACCATGTACAGGGTACTGGGGTAAACAATGTCATCTCTGGCCACTCCCTACAAATTATGGTGAGTTTAGTAAACGAGGCAGCTGCTGAGAATAGAGGAAGGCCGGAGTCACTACCAAGATAAGCGACATTACCAAGGACTACTTCTGGCTTGGAAGTCATGTACACTAATATTGACACTTTCCTTGACAATAGAGTAGAGTTTGACTTTACTTAAGACACATCAACCAGATATATTAGGTGTTGTAGAACTGTTGTACAAGAACAGGAGAATTGATTAGGAGGACTGAGAGTTCAATAAAAATGGATAGGAATCATTTACGAACATTTTTTCAGGCAACTAGCAGGAGGGGTGTGATTATTTAAGCTAGACAAGACCTTGAAGCCAGTTACATGAGGGTGCAGGGGGAGGATGTTTTTGAAGAATCAAAGTGGTGTAAAATTAAACTAAAGGGAGAGATTTACTCATTGTTGGATGTATCTACAGATCTCTGAATTGTAATTGTAGTATATTAAACTAAAGGAACTTAAAAGCCTGAATTGACAATGCAATGGCACTCAACCTTAGCCACCACCTTGTCATGGGATCTTTAACTATGGCGACATTGACTGGAGAAATGAAACCACACCAAATGACCTTAATAATCCCTCTACTCTTTTTGTAGAAACTCGGAGATAATTTTCTTTTCCAACATGTTATAGATCCGACTCACAACAGAGGGGAACTCACACCCAACTGCTGGACCTCATCATAATTAACAAGGAGGGTATGGTGGCCAAGTTGGAACATTTAGCCCCCGTTGGCACCAGTCACCGAGTAACGTTGCCCTTCAGATTTAACTGTCGCTTCGTTCATGATAAAAGCAGGCCAAATTTCAAATATTACAAGGGCAATTTTGATTGGATGAGGGAGAGGAGGGGTATTCACTAGCCTGACTCACTGATGAACAAGAATGCAGATATTACACTGAATATTCTAGCCAGTAAAGGGTACTGTGCAGTATAAGATACAAACAGAACTAAAGGTTCATAAGAGCCCTGGCCCTAATATGTTGCAACCTTGAGTGCTAAGAGAGTTATGCAATGAACTTGCCGAGCCCCTGAAGATCCTGTTCTGCACATGCCGAGATGAGCAAAAGGTCACTCCACGAATAATTATAGGCCTGACCAGCATAGTGTGTTAAGTATTAGAGAGCATTATAAGATATGGCATGATGGAATATCTACTCAGGGGCAGATCCAGGAATATCAAAAGGGGAGGGGTCCAAGAAGTTGTGGGTGGAGAAAAATGGCGAGCACAATGACCTCACCCACCTGGGGGGGCGGGGGGGGGTTGGTGGGGCACTGAAATAAGGGTGCCTGGCTACCTTAAGGATAATCAAAAAGTTTTATATCTTCTAAAAATGACTGATTTATTCTAGGAAACACATAGCAACCCACCAGCCACCTCATCAAATATGAACCATAACAACTACCAGTACCAGTAACACCATTTCTCTCTTGCTAGTCTTCTGCTGCCATGGTGCAGGGTTGCTAATAAACAAAATAACCAATAAGGAAATATAGTAATACAGTACTGTACATGTTTGTCACAGTTGGGTACATAAACTCTGTCATCTCAGAGTTCAACTCTGGGCAATGCTACAAAGTTTAAACTGGTAAAATACACAACAGTATTATATGAACAACATACGTGTGACAACGATGGCAGTGGTTACAGGAGGTGGAGAAGACACAACACTGGAGGCATGACAGAGGTAGATGCCTGTGTGGTGCTGGGTTGCCGAATCCACCACCATCTCAGCTTCACCTATGCCAGTGGCTAGGACTCTGACTGTGCTGTGAACGATGCTTCACTGTCATACTGTATGGAAATTACTGTCACGTGTAATACTGTATACAGTACAGCATAAATTAGTACACATTAAAAATACTATGAACAGACTGCTAAACTACAGTATTTATTTTTCAGATGTCACAAACTAATGAAACCTAACCTAACCAACACCAACATCGTTAAGTTAGGTCCATCCGTTTAGAAAATGAATACAGTACATAACTCATCAGATTAACAGTGCTCTTCATGTTGCTTTTCCAACACTGATAGTTTTACATACTGTACAGCCAATTAAAATTTCTATTAGTCCAAAATAGTTTTGGCGATCAAGGCAATTTACCTGGTGTTGTCAGAGGCCCTGGTCCAGGTAATTTTGGGTAGGGGGTTGCCAGCAGCAGTACACAGGATGGTGGCAGTGCCATCTTCATCCACCACCACTCTCTCAGCTGCCAACACATCCTCAGGCCCATCTGTTGACAACACCCATATCCCAAGGTCACCTCAGGACACCATTCACATTAATAGCTTTCTTCTCAGTTTGTGAAAAGTTCTTCACAATCCTAGCATGTACTGTAAAGCATCTAAAGCAAGAAACACAAACAACAATAATTATTCACCATCTGATGTATGGACTTTGATTTTTCCCCGAGAACAGTGCTGCCACACATACTGTAAAGTTAACAAGCTGTACTAGTGCAGCTCTTGGCTAAATTTTGGCCACTCATATTTTAAGAAAAAAAAAACTAAAAAATTAATCCATGAACATTTCAACTACACGTACTGTACTCTCATTCTAATGCATGGCCAAGATGCTTAATAAAAGTATATTCAACTACAGTACTGTCAACAACTAAATGAACAAAAATGTTAATGGAATTGATTTTGTTCAAAGGATAATTAGAATGCATTAAGCTACTATTGACTGTAAGTGATCAATTGTATGGCATCATACCAATTAAAGTATTATGGTATATATGAACAACCAGCTCATGGAAGAAGGGTATTAACCTTTAAAGCTCGGATGACGTTCCTCTACGTCCACCAAGGCGACCATGGGTGATGGTCCTCAACATTCTTAATTTTTGAGGCATATTTTGAATGTCCAGGCGGGAAAAATACTTTGTATGGGATATTTGTTTAATTGGGAGCTCAGCTCACACGTAATCTTTGTATCAAGACTCATACCTCGCGGTCAATTACTTTACAGCTGTCTTGATAGATGCATGTCCTCTGACCTCTCGTGACCCACCTCACTTCTCCACACCCAAGCACAAGAGAAGGCGTTTGCTCAATAGTACTGTAGTACTATTTGTCAAGACATCAATTTATTTGACCGGCATTTATATAGTTTCGGGTGATGAAGACAGTGATGGGGTGGAAACCGACCCAAATGATGTCGAGTCTGTCGTCGTGGCCAGCGGTGAGGACGGTGATGCAAACAATGGTGCTCAATCCTGATCCCCACTCCACCACCAATCCCTCAGGCAGACCGTGATCATGGGTACCTCGGTGGCCTTGGACGTAGGGGACCACACGCACGCCAACCACAACAGTCCACTTTGGAGTGAATGCACTAATTTTATGCCTGAAATACCAGTTTTCGACCATACACCAGCAGGAATGCAGGCATTTTTTCACACCATACTTATGAACTTTGTGAGCCCCCAAAAAGAAATACCAGCAGTGGTGTGTGGAAAACGACATTAGCTTCAGACTATCTCCCAAAGGGCATCAGTAGAGTTCTATTGATGTCGCAAAACTGTACAGTATGTGTGTTTTGCACTCCTCATGCTCATGGCACACGTCAAGAAACAAGTGTTGCAGGAGTACTGGATTCTCTCAGAGGACATTATTTCCACTTCAATACAGTATTTGGAAAATTTGTCACAGGACAGGTTTATTTCAATACTGAGTTACCTGCAGTTTGCGGACAATAACAACCCAACAAATGACAGGTTGTGGAAACTTAGAGAAGTGTTCACAATGCTCAAGGATATATTTGTGACAGCTTTTTGTCCCCTTCCAGAAACTTGTTATTGACGAGTTGCTTGTGCTTTTCTGTGGCCGTGTAGCATTCAGGAAGTATATTCCATCGAAAAGGCAACAGTTTGGGATAAAGTTTTATGTGCAGTGTGATTGTGAGATGGGTTACATGGTGGAGTATACAGCTACAGGTGTGGATGTTCCCAGTGACCCCCCTTAGCTAATCTCTGGTTGAATTGTGAAGCTCTTGCTAAATTGCTACCTTGGGAAAAACCACATCCCGTACACAGACAACATACTGTACTAACCACCATCCACAGGGTTGAATTGATCAACAATGGCAAGAGGACACGAGGAACGAATGGGAAAATCATGAAACTTGATGCTGTGGTCGACTATAACATCAACATGTACTTGGTAGACAAGTGACATGCAAATACTGAAAGTACAGTGATGCATGTGTTGCAAGTGGTACAAGAAGACGTTTTGCAACTCCTTGATATTTCTGTTCTGAATGCCTACAACCTGTACCACACCAAGACAGGTCACTCAGGATGTTCAGCAAGCACGTCATTGAAGGGATCCTGGAGACTTACAGTGTGCTGCAGCCTGAGGCACCAAGACGTCATGCGACTGATGGAGTTCCCAACAGACTTCTGGCCCAGGACTTCGTTTCTGTGGTACCAAGTCAAAGAGCCAGAGAGAGTGCCATAGGTGCATGAACACCACCAGGTGTGAACCATAGCTCAAGATGTGACGAATTGGTTCAAGGAGTTTAGAGATGACTTGTGCATTCCGTGTTTCAAAGACTTCCACACAATAAGAAATTCTAAATTCAGTAGAAGTACAGTACAGGTGCTCCTCTACTTATGAACGAGTTATGTTCCTGAGGCTTGTCCAATTGTTTATAAGTCCAACTTTACTCTTGTAGATACCAAACATATTGTAAAAAATGAAAAGATTATGGATATTTAATACAGCTATACCCTTTAATACAGCCTTAAAACCTGGCTCACTCTTCTCCTCTTAGGTAATGTTTGTTCTATCTGGAATTTTCTTCAAAATTATCCAGTCTCATCCACATTAAACACCTGTTCTGGCAGGTAGCCCCCCTCAGTGATGATGTTTGTATTTCTGAAAGTTTGTAAGTTAAACGTTCTTAAGTAGAGGAGCACCTGTAGTTATATGTCCGTTAGTTGGAAAAATTGGTGCAGATCACTTCCGGGTACAAGAAATTTTTTCTCAGAATTTCCAGAAAATCTCCCTGATGTTCATCTCTCAAACCCAGAAAAAAATCCCCCATCCCCCAAATTTTTCTGGCTACCAGGAAAATTCTCGGAATTTCCGGGAAATGTGCCTGATTTTCATCTCCCAGACCAGGAAAAAATCCTCCATCCCTAGAATTTTTCTAGGTACCAGGAAAATTTCCACGGAAATTTCCAGAAAATGCGCCCATTGCGTGGGTCCAGCGGGTCTTACATCGCCCGGGCTTTGAGGGTTAATTAAGTACTGTACTGTAATGGTATGAGACTGACATTGGACATTGATACTGAAGGACGAGTTGATGGCAGAGCGGGGTGTTCGGGCTACCACTGTGTAGTTGCCTGAATGGTGCCGCTGGACCCGCCTCAGATGCAGCTCACCACCTCCCTCCTCTGTGGCCTCACCCTCAATTGCACCTGGACCCCTCCACCACCTGTACCTGTTCATGGTTTGCAAGAAGAAGGTTAATATTAATCTTGAGTCCTATTAGGGTAGTGTATTGGGCCCGCTGTTGTTTGTTTGTTTCATAAATGATATGCCTGACGTTGTACACTCCTCCATACAAATGTTTGCCAATGACGCCAAGTTATTTCGGGAAATTAAGAACCAAGCGGACTGTGAAGAGCTGCAGAAGGACCTCTGTGGGCTCCAGGAATGGTCGAAGGAATGGCTGCTGAGATTCAATGTCACGAAGTGTAAGAGGATGCACCTGGGGCGTACCAACGGTAAGGAGGCGTACCATATGTCCCAACGGGATGAAGAAAATGTACTAGTTGAGACTGTGTGTGAGAAGGACCTAGGTGTGTATGTTGACAATGAGCTGAAGTTCTCGGGCCATTGTGAGAAGAAGGTAAATCAGGCAAATAAATTATTGGGTCTTATAAGAAGGTCGTTCAGATATCTAGACGGTCCGTCCCTCGTGACGATCTTCAGGAGTGAAGTGCTTCCCCATCTGGAGTACTGTCACCCCATCTGGTCCCCGAGATATGCTAGGGACTGTCAGTTGGTTGAAAATGTTCAAAGGAGGGCCACCAAGCTGGTGCCTGCACTTCGGCATCTCAGCTACCCTGCGAGATTGGAGCGCCTGAACTTGCCTAGCTTATACTACAGACGGGCAAGGGGGGACCTAGTTGAGGTTTATAAGCATCTCAGGGGGCAAACTTTTTCGGAGTGAGGGTTGTAAACTCTTGGAACAATCTACCAGAAAGTGTTGTGACGGCACCGAGTGTGAGCTCTTTCAAGAGAAGACTTGACCAACACTGGAGCGGGTTCAGGTACATTCAGGAGCCGGTGCATGCCCAGTATTTGCCAACAGTGCGTGACAGAGACGTGACCGATCGCCCGGGGCTAGCGAGCCGACCTTTTGGTGAAGAATATAAAGGAAAAGAGTGACCGATCGCCCAAGCGGCTAACAAGCCGATCAGTGGCGAAGAGGATAAAAAAAAAAAAAAAAAAAAAAGAACTGGACCCCAATCCTGATGATTAGGTTAAGCTCGTTGGATTAGAACTGGAGCCCATTTGGATCAAAGCACATTCAACCACTGGATGGCAAACTTCACCAAGTGACCTGCCGACTCCAATGCTGAAGCCCGAAGAAATGAAGCAGTAAGTAGACAATAACTAATGAGTGTGGTCACATATATATCACCTCTTTTTTCCCGAGAATCTAATCTAAAAATAAATTCTTAAAGTTAATGCTGCCACTGTTATTGTTACCATCCTATTATGAAAAGTAGAAGAGTACAGGTATCCCCTTATTTACAATGGGGTTAAGTTCCTGGAAAGCTCATGGCTATATTAATTATCATAGATCGGGATCATTATAACATGGGGTACAATGGGATACGTTGCCATCCAGTCCAACACCCACAAGTATCACAGAAAAAAATCATGCACTATAATATACATAAAACAACACTCACCACATTATTAAGAACAAGCCTGGTCGTCATTACTACATGTCTCCTTCGAGGCTAAGGGGACTCTTGAAGGTGGAGTGGTGACGTCACTCTGACTCCCACACAACTTCTGTGGCATCTCAATACAGGTTCACGACAACACAGACAAAGCACTTTACAGTCACAAAAAAACATAACAAAAATCACTTCGCAGTCACCAAAACAGAGTACTGATGATATGTAACAACACCGACACTGACCGATGATCATTGAATTACACGATTGCAGCCAGGTGGAATCACCAGGGAGCAAAGCTTGGTACATACTGTAGTGCACTGGGTGGTCAAATGGCGGTGCACTACAGTACCAAGCTCTGTTCTTTGGTGATGCCACATGGCCGCAATAGTGTAATTCAATGATTATAATCAGTCAGTATCAATGTTGCTACTTATCGATGCTTTTTTTTTAACCTTACAGTGAGAGGACATCACTAACATTCACTTTGTACTGTACAGTATGTACTCTGTACATACTTGTGAACAATAGTCTGAGTCAGTATGAATGGCGACATACTTTGAAGCGAGAACCAACTAAGGGAAAACTTACCTGACAGATCCAGGATTGGCACTGGCTAGGGCTGTTAATGTCAGGTCCTGCCCCTCCTCTACATCCACCACCCCTGATGGTGCCCACAACCATACAGGCCCGTCTGTACCAAGAGCAATTGGCGAGGAAATTGTTAAATATAAGTGGTTAATAATTGTACATGGTTGTACATTACTGTATGTACCTGTAGTCTAATGTACAGTACTTGCTTGTATACACAGTACTCTAATACTTTGTCCTCATTGCCCCTGGTTGGTGATTAATACAAACTCTGGTCAGCTTACCAGCCAGTCATTGATTAAATTATTTACTCCTTTAGTATTTCTGTGCATCAGCATCTAAAATCTCTAATCATGTAAGTTAAGTCATTCATACACAAGACAGTAGTTATTAAGAGTGGTGGACGATATTTCTTTTAGTGTGGGAACTGGGAAGTGAGAATAGCGATAACATGGGAGGCGAGAAAGATTGTAACTAACAGGAAAATATGAAAGATTAAAAATTACATGGGAGATGAGAAAGATTAACAATAACATGGGAAGAGAGAAAGATTAATAATAACATGGGAAATGAGACAGAGTAACAATAACATGGGCGGTGAGGAAGACTAAAAATAACACAAGAGGAGAATAATATACTGTATAAAAAAAACATGGGAGAAGAGTGAATAATAATGATGTGGGAGGCAATAGAGTTGTCCTGTACTTTCATACTAACAGGTGACGTTGAGAGTAATGTTGGTAGCTACGATCACTCCAAGTCCATTGTCTGCCTCACAGGTGAAGATTTGTCCATTATCCTCTGCTGTTGTCTGCACCTTTATCGTCGACCTGGCGATCAGGAAAGGATTTTTATCTTCAATCTACACATAAAAACAAACTAAACTACTGTATATTGATAGTTCTTCAATCAACGTGTCAGTGACTTATGTAATACAAGTTTTTAAACAAACAAGAAAAATTTCAGTGATTTTTAAATAACAAAACAAAGAAATGTATTTGCGAGATAAATTCTTGTCGGGTTACTTCTTCCATAATCAGTTAAGATAAATTTGTTTTGGGAACAATTCGACCTACCCCAGACATCAGATGAACCAGCCAATCTGAAGATGAAGACATATAATGCTCTCTAGTACTTTGCACACACTATGCTAGTCAAAAGCACTGGCCTGTAATTGTTCTTACAGTGGTGATCTTCCTGTTGGAACATAGGACTCACACACAAGCCATTTTCTAGTTGCTGAGGACCATTTTTTTTGTTCAGGCATCTGCAGAACAGTATTTCAAGATGCTCGGCAAGCTTGTAGCACAACTCTCACGACACTTTGGGATGTACACTATCACGCCAAGGCTCTATTGAACCTTGAGCTTTGACAATTTTGTTCAAATTAGACTCGCTATACGTCCCGATTTTGACCTCTTGACCCGGGACTCCCAGCCGGTTTATAATTATGACCTGGGAGTCAAAAATGCTATGAACTGTACGAAATATCATGAGAATTTTCTGGTGCAGTATGGTGGTTTACAGGGTAGCTTAGAATGTATTACAAGGTACTGGAAAAGTACCCTCTCAGTGGCATTCTCAACAATCCTTTCCTGTATCATGAGGGTTGGTTGTATATGCGTCCAGTACCTGTCAACCTCAAGTCTGTTTCGGGTGACTGTATCTGGCTATACACATTCTCAAACCACTGCGTGCCATTTTCAAGTCTCAGATCTGATGCGCTCACAAGTGTCTTTAATTCAGAAATGTAACGTCAAAAGGCATCCCAACTTAGCATATTTACAGTTAAGTAATTATAGTCCATGCAATTTTCTGTCAAATCTTATTACATATACAGTAATGTCAATATTACGGTTTCAGTCAGTTCGTATCACACTTACGATTGGTATTACAGTATAAAACACTTATGGAATTCTTTCACAATGCAAGGACATCGAAAAAGAATGCCTTTTTAGTATCAACATTTGGACATTCTTTTTCGAAAACACCGTTTCTATCCATTTATAGAATACAATGTGGTCATTAAACTTTTCATAAGGGTTCATTGAGTGTCAAGTGAAATGTAACCTAATCCAATGTAATTAACTTAATCAAACTTAACACATCCTGATTCCTGACCAAACCTAGCCTAACCCCCTAAGGTAAGCTGGGGTTCCTAATCGTCAAGTGATCCAATCCCTCTGCTTGTATTTCTTAAATGGTTCATTTAAATTATATCACCGGTGGACGGAAATAAAGTCACAGGAAAAAAAGGGGCACAGGAAAAAGTCACAAGTTTGGCTCGGAAAAAAGTCACAAGAAAAAAGCCACATTTTATTTAAATACTATTAACAATTAAAGTTATAAAATAGGCTAGGTTAGGTTAGGTTAGGTTCTGTCTTTTCCTGTGACTTTTCCTGTGGCTTTTTTCCTGTATTATTATTATTATTATTATTATTATTATTATTATTATTATTATTATAATAATAATAATAATAATTAATAAAAATTACAATAAAATTTGAAGATAAAATAATAATAATAACCATGAATAAATGCAAAAAAAAATCAAGAGTAAGAAACGATATACATTGCGTATTTGTGTTGTCAATAGTAAAAGAAACAAAAACCCTGCAGGTGTGTGTAAATGAGACAAAGTCAGATCAGTAACCTGGGACTTGGTCACAATTTTCGTGATGCCATATGGCAGCAGAGTCTACCATTAGACAACACATTATGCTTCCAATATCTTCCCAGGCGGTAGTACCTCCCTGTTTGATAGCTGCCTACTGTTGTCATAAGACAATAACATCATATTAACTTATTTGCATATTAAATTGTTTATTACCAAACAACTGATGAAATAATTCTTAATAATTGCCATAACACTCCCTGGGGCCAGCAATAAAAAAAATCCAATATTGATAAAATTTTTCCAGCGATATCCAATTTGAGTTTGTGACGGGAGGGCGAACACAGCTTGAACTAGCTTTGGGCCGCCTGTACCGTAGCCTCCAAACACACGGAAGCTTCAAAAACACTCTCGTGCCGACTATGAACTTCTAAATTGCGTAATTGACTCCATAAAGAAATAAAAGAACAAGTAATGTTTGTCATTTATTCAGTACTAAGATAAAATCGCCATAAGTTATGTGGAACTTCTCAACTGGTGGCCAGAGTTTATAACAACACAATTGACCGTGAAACATTCCGATCAAAACTTTTAATCGACATCGGACACAACAGGTTGTGTTCCAGCCTTGACCCTGACCAAGGAATGTTATTTGGGAAGATCGAGAGAGCACTCCAATGGACGAATGTATTCGCCCCAGAATGTGGCGCAACCAAGCGGCCGTGATGTATAAACGCTGTGGTTATACTATTCAGCTGTCACCGGTTGAATATTGAATAGCCTGGTAGTCGACGCAGCCGGGACGGCTACATAGACAGCCAGGCTAGGCTATTCAGCCGTAAACCCATAAGCCGTCACCGGTTGAATAGCTTGGTTGTCAACGCAGCCGAGTCGTGAACCCATCGCCATGTGGGTCATAGGAGAATTTTAGTATTGACATCTCGGGACAGGACAGGATTACCGGAAACTGGGCCTCAACTGACATGGTCAGATCGGTGTACAGCTAGACAGACGTCAAAATGAAGTGACAGATATACAAAGACAAGTAAGGGGTTATCCAATGGCGCCAAACATAAGGTATACCTTTATGTCGCGGAAAAGAGAATGCGTTAATTTGGACGGCAGGTCCGTCATCGACCAGGCGGCTAGCGTCTGAGATTGGGATGCAGTATAGGCGGATTCTTGGTCGCCCCAAAACGCATAACTAGTTATGCTATCTATTGTGCATCTCTACTGCGCACCCAAAGTTTTGCCTTTGGCAAAACTTCTTCAGAGTTGATATGCCCTCAAAAGCCCACCCGGGCACAGGTCACTGACCCACATTGGGGCCTGGGGGGCGAAAATGTAATAATAATAATTAATTAATAAAAGAAAAAAACATTAAAAAATAAATAAATAAAAAAATAAAAAAAATAAAAAATAAATAAACAAACAATAAATATAATAAAAAAAAAAAAAAAAAAAAAAAAAAAAAAAAAAAAAAAAAATAATAAAACTAATAAAAAAAAAAAACAATAACAAAAATAATAAAAATAATAATAATAAAATAATACTAATACTAATACTAATACTACTAATACTAATACTACTAATACTAATACTACTAATACTAATACTACTAATAATACTAATACTAATATTAATACTAATAATAATAATAATAATAATAACATTAATTAGATAGTAAATAAAATTTATAATAAAAAAAAAAAAATGATAATATAACATCACTGTAATAATAATAATAATAATAAAGAACTATAAAGAAAAAAATAATTCAATAGTGAGAGACGATATATGTATGTTGTGTTGTCAAAGTAAGAGATACAATTGAGACCCTGCAATTGTGTGTAAATGTGGCAGAAAGACAGATCAGCAACCTGGGACTTGGTCACAATTTTCGTGATGCCATATGGCAGCAGGGTCTACCATTAGACAACACATTATGCTTCCAGGCTATTCAACCGGTGACGAATGAATAGCCACTGCGATGTTTAAAACAAATTAAACCCATTGCGCATTACATGATGCTGTGCGATAACGCCAGATTTTTTTCTAAAAAAAACCTATTTATATATACTCAGTGGGTTATTGACATTCAACTTTAGATATCCAGGAATAATTTATCAAAGCAACACATTGATTATCTTGTAGAGAAAGACAATCATTTGTCTATTTAAGTCGGCAAATAATTACCATGTAAGGCACAATGGGCTTTATGTTTTTATACACAGTGGCCGCTTGGCGGAGCCACATTCGGGGGTGAAAACCTTCGCCTAGAGTCAGGGATTCTACCTTCACTCATTGGAGTGTGATAGAATCCTTGCTCTGACAAACTCTCCACATAACTTCGGGTCACAGATCCAGGCCTTCCAAACTTAGATCACAAACAGACAGACACATACGTCAACATGACAGAGATCGTTGTACAAGGTCAATTAACGCAATTTAGAAAATATATAATTTAGAGGGCAAATTAGACGTGTAATTCGTCGTTGTTGAGATTACTGCAGCAAATATTACGTTTGGTCCATTACGTGAGTGTGTTGTTGTGCAGTGAATGAATTTTCCCAGCAAATTCCTCGAGATCAAACGAGTTTATTGTGTTAAGTATAAAGCGTCTATCTCACTCACACACACACACACACACACACACACACACATATGCGTAAAAATATCTATTAACATTAGAATGTAACCAAACTTAATTGGATTTTGCTTTTCACGGAAATAGGCTCGTTTTGATGAACATATAATCCGATTTATTTATCACATTCACGAAAAGACAAATACCAATCAGGAATAACTATTGTTCACAATGGTTCCTTTAGTTAAGTGGGTGACACTAAACACGGCGACACTTCACCTAAATGTATTACATCCTCACACCTTTGTCAACTTTAACTTTGATGCTTAATTTTATTTTTTACATGACATACTGTAGTGGAGATGAACTACTAATGATGCTTTTATGATTCGTGTTTTGCTTCCGTTGATAGTTATCTCATTTTTTGTTTACGTTATCTCACCTTCTTCATTAGGTTTACAAATCAGATTCCCCAGTTTATTATTGTGCTAACGCCAAGGTATTGATGACGTCACGGGTACAGTCGGTGTTATATTTTGATAATTTTTTTTGGGGGGGGGGGGGGGGGGGCAGCCAATACTTCAACGTTGTATTTGTTCAAGTACCACATCAAGACCTTTGTGGCTCATAGATGAACCTCTATTGGAGACGCTCGGATTCTGGGCCCAGGCCTCAGTTCCATGTGTCTCAGTCAAAAGAAAACTTTAATCATTTCCTCCGAGTCCAAGGTGAAACAATTGTTATTTCCCCTACATCTGAAGGAGAGTTTCTAGTTGGGTAAACATTTCCTGTGCCTCATAAGGAGTTTGAGACGGTAAAATATTTCCGACATCTTAACAGTTTCAGGCAGAATCGAAATTCCTCAAGTGTGTAAATTTTTAGTCAATATTCACACAAGAAATGTAAACTTTCAGCATGTACATACATCAGGTTGTTTCAGCAGATACAATACACATGAAGGAAGTCCACTGTGTATGAGACTGCCTCATTGTCAGATGTATCTACAGATCCCCAAACTAGCGTATTAAACCAAAGGAGCTTAAGAGCCGAATTGACAACGTAACAGCGCTAAACCCTGGCCACCTCCTTGTCCTGGGGGACTTTAACTATGGCGACATCGACTGGAGAAATGGAACCACGCCAAAAAACCTAAATAATCCCGTAACTCTTTTTGTAGAAACTGAGGGACAACATGTTAAAGATCTACCTCACTACAGAGGGGAACAAACACCTAAACCGCTGGACCTCATCATAACTAACGAGGAGGATATGGTGGCCAAGCTGGAACACCTAGCCCCCAGTCACCACATAACGTTGTCCTTCAGATTTAACTGTTACTGTACTTGGTTCATGACAAAAACAGGTCGAGGTTCAAATATTACAAAGAAAATTAATACGGGATGAGGGAGGAGATGAGGGGTATCCACTGGCCTGACTTATTAAGATATAAGAACGCAGACACTACGCTTAATAACATCGCCAGTAAAGTTAACCTCATTATCGATAAATATACACATTATACAGTATACCCAAGACCAAACCCAGTGCATTCAGGGAGACTTACACATGAACCATGCGACGGTCGACAAGGTTAAGAAGAAAACTTAGGATTTCAAGACGTGGGTTAGGACAATTATTATTATTACAGGTATTATATATATATTTTTTTAAGGGGATTACCCCACCCGGGCACAGGTCACTGACCCACATCGGGGCCTGGGGGCGGAAATATTATTATTATTATTATTATAATAATAATAATAATAATAATAATAATAATAATAATAATAATAATAATAATAATAATAATAATAATAATAATAATAAAGAAATACAAAATGAAAAAAATCAAAAGTGAGAAACAATATATGTGTGTTGTGTTGTCAAAGTAAGAGAAACAATTGAGACCCTGCAGGTGTGTGTAAGTGAGGCAGAAAGTCAGATCAGCAACCTGGGACTTGGTCACAATTTTCGTGATGCCATATGGCAGCAGGGTCTACCATTAGACAACACATTATGCTTCCAATATCTTCCAGTTTGATTTTATTCCTACCTGATCTCCAGTAATTACCTCCACCCACCTGGTGATGGTGCCACCGTAGAGGCCGGGAGAGTGTGTGAGGGTGGGGCGAGTCACAAGTGTCATCTGAGAGTGCCAAGTGATGGTGGAGGGAGGCACACTGGAGGTGGTCTCACAGGTCAGCGTTGCCACCTGGCCCTCTGACACCCTGGGGGGATTAACCCACCCTGACACCTTCCATGCCGCAACTGTCAGGGAGAACATATTAGTAAGGAGTGGGGGAGAAAATGGTATGGGGGGAGGGAGAAGTGATGGAAATTATGGTATGGATGGTATAATATCTTTAACCTTTGGCTTCGATACATCTTGGTGAATAGACTATTACAACTTGCCTGATCTCTTCCTCAGTAATTTGTTGTTCATTTATAGAATGTTGAAATTATTAAGTACGCACACTTAAAATCATCCAGTGTGCTAACTATTACTATTATTACTATTGCTACTGTTACTACTGCTACTACTACTATTTTTTATATGGCCTCCAGCCTCCCCCAATAGCCATATCTTCACCATCATTTTATTACCTTAATATTAAATATCCTAATACATAAGTAGCTATCCTAGCTGTGTTGAGTTGGTGGAGCCGCAGACCTATGCAGCATTCAGTGACTGTAGCCTCATAGTCAATATCTGCAACTGCTGTCGGCTTTGGGACCGATGCTCTCGTTCCCCTGAGGCACAGCAAAGCCGACCGAAGGAGAGAGAAGGACAGTCGATATCTCATCCAGGCTGTAACATAACTTCTGGGCTGCTGCTTCTGTTCGGATATCACCTTCGCGAGTCTGGCATAGAAGCATCTTGCACTTGGTCCCATCCCACCAGAGGTTATGAACACTAGAGGAGTGAAGCTGCTTTGATCAACGTTCTGAATTCTCTCCCCGTATGCCCTTATCTTGTCGTTCTCGTTCCTCCTGTGTGCAGCATCGAGAGCTAAGTTATGGTGACATGCGGCCATGGGATAAAAATCCTGATGTCGAAGAAGGCTCACTGTCCCCGTGTCCAGAATCCTCGAGCACTGACGTCAACACGGGCTTCGTTGGATGTGTTTGAAGTCCTATGTTGGAAAATCTCACCATCCAATGGAAGGAGGGTCGGTTCTACCCTGACATCACGGCAGTTATCCTTCAACATATTTGCTATGAGATCCCTTACTTCGTCATGCCTCATGCATATGAAGCCCCCTTTCTTGCACACCATGGCGTGATCGACGTCATAGAAAGAGCCACACATGCATTGGGAGGGCAAACCTTCTACTGGCCTACCGTACCTTAGAGCATTGGCATCTGTAAATTCTTGTCTACTACTGTTACTACCAAGACTACTACTACCGTTACTCTCACCACTACTACTAGGTACTACTACTACTAGTATACTGTTACTCCCACCTCTACTACTTCTACTGTTATTACTGCTGTTACTACTGCTGTTACTACTGCTACTACAACTGCTGTTACTACTGCTGTTACTACTGCTACTACAACTGCTGTTACTACTTCTGTTACTACTGTTACTTTGCTACTACTACTGCTGCTACTACTACTGTTACTACTGCCGTTACTACGATTGTTACTACTACAACAGGCAGGGACACATTAACTATAAGGCTAATAGGGCTGTAGCATGAGCTCCTCGTGATATTTAGGTCCTCGAGTTTAGGCCTTAATGTGTGTTTCTTTCACGTAAATCTTTGTTACAAGTTGGTAAAGTAAACGACTTTTATTATGGATTATTAAGGCTCTACCGTTATTATTTTCAAATATATACAGTACATAATATACGGTAGTACAGGTCCTTTCCTCTTATAAGCCTTAGGCCCCTCACAACCTTAATCTGGCCCTGACTACAGGGTGATTTTTTTATTCGAGAACCCTAAATAATTCCCATACACTAAAAACTACACGTGTTAGTACCCTAATGTGTGTAAATATAGCCTAATGTTACAGAAAGACGTTACATGATGCCGAGAGTTACCAGGGGTCACGTGACCCGTCAGTGGCGTTTAACGGATTTCACTCAGTCACGCCATAGCGGCCACTGTGTTTGTTGTGTTGTGAGCGCCATGACGTGACTGAGTGAAAACCGTTAAACGCCTCACAAACAGTGAGGCACAGAGGTGAGGGCTAGGGGAGGGAGGAAAGGAGGTACATAGGTGAGGGCAAGGGAAGGGAGGGAGTACACAGGTGAGGGCTGGGGGAGGGGGGTACAGGTGAGTGCTGTGGGGGGGACACAGGGGTGAGGGCTGGGGGAGGTACACAGGTGAGGGCTGTGGGGAGGTACACAGGTGAGGGCTGGGGGAGGGGATGCAGGAGGCACACAGGTGATGGCTGGGGGAGGGAGGGAGGCACACAGGTGAGAGCTGGGAGAGAGGGGGAGGGAGTAAACAAGGAGGGGGGGCTGGGGGGGAGGAGGGAGGTGCACAGGTGAGGGGTGGGGGGAGGGAGGGAGAAACAGAGGTGAGGGCTAGGGGGTGGGGGGAGGCACACAGGTGAGGGCAAGGAAGGGAGGGAGTACACAGGTGAGGGCTGGGGGGAGGAGGGGAGGGAGGTATATAGGTGAGGGCTGAAAGAGGGAGGGAGGTACACAGATGAGGGCTGGGGGGAGGGAAGGAGGCACAGGTGGGGGCAGGGGGAGGGGGGAGGTACAGAGGTGAAGGCTGAGGAAGGGATGGAGGAAGGTACATAGGGTGAGGGCTGAGGGGGAGGGCAGCACAGGTGAGGGCTGGGGAGAGGGAGGAGGGAGGGAGGAGGTACATAGGGTGAGGGCTGAAGGAGGGTGGCACACAGGTGAAGGCTGGGGAAGGGAGGAACGGAGGTACACAGGTAAGGGCTGGGGGGAGGGAGGTGCACAGGTGAGGACTGGGGGGAGGGAGGTGCACAGGTGAGGGCTGTGGGAGGGAGGAAGGCACACTGGTGAGGGCTGCGGGAGGGAGGTGCACAGGTAAGGGCTGAGGGAGGGAGCGAGGACAAGTGAGGGCTGTGGGAAGGAGGAAGGCACACAGGTGAGGGCGGGACGAGGGAGGGAGGTACACAGGTGAGGGCTAGGGGGAGGGAAGGAGGTACTCGAATAAAAAATCCTCCTACTACTAATACTACTACTATTCCTAATTCTTCTACCACTACTACTACTTCTACCACTACTACTACTAATAATAACAACACCTCAGAACCTAACACATAAATACTACAATAATCCCAAGGAAGCCGTGACCACATCAGCTACACGATAAACTCTCACGTTACAATCTCCGTATAGACTATGGCTGGCGTGCGAGTGTTCAGATTATTATTATTATTATTATTATTATTACAACATTCAACCCAGCTTCCTCCAGGAGTGTAATAAGGAACTCTGGTACAGTATTCACAAGCTCTCCGGGTATACAGAGGAGAATCATTTCCTAATTCAATTTGGTCGGGTTTTTGTTGAGCAGTTTCCGCTATTTTATACTGTATTCGTATTTTGGGCAACGCTAAGTTACCAGACCAGATCAGGACCATTCCAGACCAGACCGAGACCAGACCAAGATCAAGATCAGACCAAGACCAGACCAAGACCATTCCAGACCAGACCAAGACCAGACAAAAGAGAAATTTTCATATAGGAACCCCTGGGTGGATGTTGCTAGGTAATGTTATGGGATGTTTGCATGGGGTAGGGTAGGTTACGTTAGGTGTTAGTTGGATTATGTTAGGCCATGTGTTAGTTGGGTTAGGTTAGGTGTTAGTTGCATTAGGTTAGGTTAGGTCAGGCCAAGCCAGGTCAGGTCAGGTAAGCTCAGGTCAGTTCAGGTTAGAATAAGTGTTCAGTGACAGTAAACATTTCTAACAAAACTGTATCCAAATCTAAAAATATAAATACCAAATCATGCATCACCCCAGAGATTATTTTATCCTTTACTGTAATACAACAAATAATACAAACTAGTGGAGACCCCTTTACCTATTTTACCTTCGGGGGAGAATTAGGGTATTAATTAATTCTATTTCGCCTAGGAGGATTCAAGTGTGGGTGGTCATGGGGTGGTAGTGTGGGTGGGGAGTCATGGGGTGGTAGTGTGGGTGGAGGTGGGTGGTAGTGTGGGTAGGGGTGGGTGGTAGTGTGAGTGAGGGGTTATGTGGGTGGTTATGGGGTGGTAGTGGGGGTGAGTGGTAGTGTGATTCGGGGTGGTGGTGTGTGGGTGGGAGGTGGGTGGGAGGTGGGTGAGTGGTAGTGTGGGTGGTGTGTGGGTGGGGGTGGGTGTGTGTGGGTGGTGGGTGGGAGGTGGTGGTGGTGTGGGTGTGTGTGGGTGGGGGTGGTGGCGTGGGTTGGGGTGTGTGTGGTGGGTGGGTGGTTGTGTGGGTGGGGATGGGTGGTTGTGTGGGTGGTTGTGTGGGTGGGTGGTGGTGGTGGTGTGGTGTGGTTGTGTGGGTGGGGATGGTGGTTGTGTGTGGGTGGGTGGTTGGGGGTGGGTGGTGGTGTGGGTGGGTGGTAGTGTGGGTGTTCATGAGACTGGGGTGGTTGTGTGGGTGGTCACGCGGGCGGCAATGGGGTGGTAATACTCACAGTGCAGGTTAATGGTGGTGTGGGCGGTCATGGGGGTACTCGTGGCTGGGCTGGACACTTGACATGTCACTTCCTGGCCATTATCTGAGGGCGTGAGGTGTAAGACAGCACGCCCCTCAGTCACTCCTTCCTCCACCCCCTTCACCGTCGCCGTCACCTTTTTCCCCGCCTTATACAACCTGTGTCACAACCACAACAACAACCACGTCAATAAGAACGGGTTGTGGTCATACATTGTTATATTATATCATGTGTATGAATTAATTACTTTTGATGGCTGACACAAACTAAACAGATTAATGTGAATGAAATTATCTAATGTGGTTTTAGATTTTATTTGAATAGACTGGTTAGTGATGAAATGATGACTGTTATTGACTTGATGATGAGTGATGGCGAGATGGAAGGATGGATGGCGGGAGGGCTGAGGGAGGGAGTGAGGGAGGTACACAGGTGAGGGCTGTGGGAGGGAGGGAGGTACACAGGTAAGGGCCCGGAGGAAGGAAAGTACCCACGTGAGGGCTGGGGGAGGGTTGCCGCCCCTGGAGGTACACACAACACTCAGCTGGTCGCCTGCCACCAGCTGTCTACCTTCTTCCTCCACCTGAAGGACGGGCCACCTGGGTCGCTCTGTGGGTCAACAATACCTTAACATTATCACCAGTAAGCAGTGTTAAGTTAAGCTTAGGTTAGGTGAGGCAAAATCAGGTCAAGTTAAGTTAGGTTAGCATTAGGGATGATTAATCTCCAGGTGATCCCTTAATAAATCATGCACCCACGGGGTAATTACAATATTGTAACGAGAAAACACAAACAGATTAACACTAAACTCCACTGACTGTATGTTGAGCCGAAGTGATCACCAAGAACACACCATCCTGGATCACTCAAGCTAACGTATACAAATAACATAATTGCCCTGAGACTTTATCGTAACTACAAACGTTCACTTAGCACAAAATAAAATCAATATACAGAATCTCTGGCAAGGTTCTGTAGTATAGTTATGGAGTTGAAGACACTCTTACATCTTGGTTTGGCAGAATGATTCATTTTACGACCCTTTCAGAATCACAACTAGGGTGTGGCTGGCTCACTCATATATAGCGCGCACACACACACACACAAACAGATCTCTGAAACACACACACACACACACAAACAGATCTCTGAAACACACACACACACACAGAGCTCATGTTACAACTCCCAAGTTTTGATGGCAGGATATAAACCCATCTGCACCGGCCGAGTGAACGGTATTGCTCAGGGGATGAAAGGCTTCACATGTGTAGCTGAAGTCAGGGGGTCGCCCAGGCACCAAACACTGTGGCATTTGTAGGCGACACATCCATCATCGAGTGAGCTGGACTACATGCTGTGCCCAGGACTGAATTCTACCACTACTTGTACCAAAACATCTACCATACAGTAACACATGACCATAACATCTACCACACAGCCACCACTACACACCTACCACACCCACCACTACATACCTAACAACCACCACTGCACACCTACCACCACACAACCTCAATATCTACCACACACAGAGCAGGTGGTTGGGAGTCTTGTTTCTGGTGCATTTTAAATCACGTTTACTGATTCGTCTTCATGTGATGTGAATATTTGACTCCGTTGATCTAGTGAAAGTCTGACCAATTCCTACAACACGGCAACATCCAGCAGTTACGCCAGGCTGCCAACCCACTACACTTCTGCTGGTGGTGTGGGTGTTGGTAGTGGTGCAAATAGTGGTGGTGTGGGTGTTGGTAGTGGTGCAAATAGTGGTGGTCGTGGTGGTGTTGGTAGTGGTGAAAATAGTGATGGTCGTGGTGGTGTGGGTGTTGGTAGTGGTGTAAATAGTGGTGGTGGTGTGGTTGTTGGTAGTGGTGCAAATAGTGGTGGTGGTGTGGGGTGACAATGAGTGGGTGTCAAGATGGTGGTTAGTGGTTTAAGTAGTTGTGGTGATGGTGAGGGCACTGATGGTGGTAGTGGTGGTGGTGGTGGTGGTAATGATGGTGGTAGTGGTGGTTCGAGTAGTAATAGTAGTAGTGGTGGTGGTGCAAGTAGTAATAGTGGTGGTGAGTGGTGGTGGTGGTGGAAGTAGTAATAGTAGTATAGTTATAGGTGGTGCAAGTAGTAGTAGTGGCGGTGAAGTAGTAGTGGATGTGAAAAACGTTCAAATATTTTGGGAAGGTTGCCAAGGGCGACGCACCTGACAACAACAACAACAGATAAAGTGTCGTTTTTCCCACACTCAAGCGAGGACTGTCTATGTGTGTGTGTGTGTGTTAAATCAGCGATCGCTTACTGTATTGTACCAAGCCTCACATAACACCGTGTAACCTGAACAACACAATTTAATTATTGGTCTGGGGAGGTCACGTGTCCAGGTGGGCCAGCCTCTAAGTGGTCTCACATATCCCCCTATTAAATAAGTCTTGAGGCTAAAATTTGGTCCAGCTCCTACGGTCACTTAAGGTTAGTTCTGAATCTGGTCCCCCATGGATGCCTTATGGTTCTAGTTTAATGTTTGTTTATGGTTTTGTGTTGACGGAGAGTAATTCAACTACATCTTGGAAGAAATCAAAGGAGAAAGAAAATTGGAAAAAACGAGAGAGAGAGAGAGAGAGAGAGAGAGAGAGAGAGAGAGAGAGAGAGAGAGAGAGAGAGAACACTTATATTCTCACACCACCAGATCCAGAAAAGTGAAACCTCAAAAATAATTTCCATTCCCTAAACCACTGTTTTCGTCTTTGGCAAATTACCTCAGTTAACACGATAAATCTACCCAAACGAGTCATCTTCAGAAAAAACAAACTACCATCAAAAATACAAATAAAAACAAACAAACATACGTGTACCACAAGAGTATTACAAGAACGGGAATAATAATAATACTTGTTTGGTGTTTCTGGGCTGAGTGTACAAGGGCTCGCTACTACATCTCGTTCCCTGTACACGAGGCCCTGAAAGTTGTGTTAAGTGGAGAGTTTCTCAAATACCTGCAGGCGGGACTATCACTGGAGCTGAAGGAATGGGAGTGGTGTGGATGTGGATTGGTGTGGTTGTGTAGTGGTGTGGATGTGGAGTGGTGTGGATGTGGAGTGGTGTGGTTGTGTAGTGGTGTGGTTGTGTAGTGGTGTGGATGTGTAGTGGTGTGGATGTGTAGTGGTGTGGATGTGTAGTGGTGTGGATGTGGAGTGGTGTGGATGTGGGTGGTGTGGATGTGGGTGGTGTGGATGTGTAGTAGTGTGGTGTGTAGTGGTGTGGATGTGTAGTGGTGTGGATGTGTAGTGGTGTGGATGTGTAGTGGTGTGGATGTGTAGTGGTGTGGATGTGTAGTGGTGTGGATGTGTAGTGGTGTGGTGTGTAGTGGATGTGGCAACCTGTGGTTTAATGGTCAGCATGCTAGCCTCGCAAGTGAGCGGACCCGGGTTCGATCCCCGGGCAGTAATTGATAACCTGGATGTTAATCGATTTGCGGATCGTATTCCGGGGTAATGGTTAGCCAGTGCAGTTGGCGATTTGTCCGGTCTTCTCGAACTATTCCTTGACACTAGGTCACTGGTTGTTGTGTTGGCGACAGCTTCTACACCTTAAACAAATTCACGGTGGCCTAGGTGGCCCTTGGACCGGCCATCCTCGTTACACGAAGGGCAACCATTAATATAGATAGTAGTAGTGGTGGCTGTGGTAGGTGTGGTAGGTGTGTAGTGGTGGGTGTGGTAGGTGTGTAGTGGTGGGTGTGATAGGTGTGTAGTGCTGGGTGTGGTAGGTGTGTAGTGGTGGGTGTGGTAGGTGTAGAATGGTGAGTGTGGAGTAATGTGAAGTGGTGGGTGTGTGGTGTGTAATGGTGGGTGTGTGGGTGTGGTGGTGGGTGTGGTGGGTGTGTGGTGGTGGGTGTGGTGGGTGTGTGTGGTGGGTGTGGTGGTGGTGTGGTGTGTGGTGGTGTGTGGTGGTGGTTGGTAAGTGTGTGGTGGTGGGTGTGGTAGGTGTGTAGTGGTGGGTGTGGTGGTGTGTGTGGTGGGTGTGGTAGGTGTGTGTGGTGGGTGTGGTGGGTGTGTGGGTGGGTGTGTGGGTGTGTAGTGGTGGTGTGTGTGTGTGGGTGTGTGTGGGTGTGTGGTGGTGGGTGTGGTGGGTGTGGGGTGGTGTGGTGGGTGTGTGTGGTGGTGGGTGTGGTGGGTGTGTGTGGTGGGTGTGGTGGGTGTGTGGTGGTGGGTGTGGGTGTGTGTGGTGTGTGGTGGGTGGTGGTGGTGTGGTGGTGTGTGAGTGGTGGGTGTGGTAGGTGTGTGTGGTAGGTGTGTGGTGGTGGGTGTGGTGGGTGTGTAGTGTGGGTGTGGTGGGTACGTAGTGGTGGGTGGAAGGAGGGAAGTTACAGCCCATAATGTTATAAAATCTGCCTTGAGGGTCAATATCCACTAGCTAGAGGGATGAGGAGGTGATGCGCGCGCGCACACACACACACATGCGTCCTCCCTCCCTCCCTCCCTCCCTCCCTCTCTCTCTCTCTCTTAGTCAATTTGCTGACGAAGGTAAGGACGTGTTAACTTACTAATGACGGTGAGGTTGTGGGTGCCAGTGAGGGCGTGGTGGGCGGCGGAGTGCGAGGCCAGGCACTGAGCTGTGGCCTCGGGGGAGCTTGACAGGTGGTGCGTCAGCTGGCTAGAGGTCACCCATCCCCCACCCGAGTCCTTCCTTACCACAGCAGCGCCCGTCGATGACACGCTCGACCCTGGCGAACACAGGATGAGAGAGAGAGAGAGAGAGAGAGAGAGAGTTAATCCATTAAACATAATTGTACTAATTTTCAAATAAAACGAAATTAAATGAATCCATATAAACTAAAGTAACTTAATCCCACATAAACTTACCTAACCTAACCTAGATAAGCTAACCTAAGCTAATTTGACCCACATATCCTAAGCTAAACTAACTTATATTGACTTACATCACACTAATCCAGTACCCGAGTCTAACTTACCTAAACAACTATTCCAAAATTATGTTCATTCTAAACTCAAAATCATAAAGACAAAAATTACGGGTATTAATGTAACCTGCAGCCAAAGACGATTTTTCCCCGAATAATATTTCAACGTAAAAATATATTTCAAGAATATGTTTATACCACTGACATATTACACTAACAAATATATTTTGTTTGTATTATATTCTGTATATTTTAACACATCAATCGGAATCTAACCGACCATAATATACTGTAATATAATATAATATAATATAACAAACATATTCTCACTTAACCTAACATATCGTAATTTAACCTAATCTATTACTACACTGTACCTGACTACCCCCCCCCCCCCTTATACATCATTAGTGACTTACCTTGTAGACGCCAGGTGAGGGAGGCGGGAGGGTTGGCAGGTGAGGTCGTACAGGTTAGGGTAAACACCTGATCAGTCACCACCACGGTCGGGCCGGTCACCGTCACCTGCACCGGGGGGTCTGTGAGGGGGCCCAGTAGACGCCTTATTAATATTCACCAACACAATCATGGTCGATAAGGGTCAGATCAGTAATTCATTGTTGGCAAGTGTCTTTACTCATAACACTGTAGAGTTTTCCAGACCAGACACAACGGCTCTCAAAACATCGTCTCAACACTATACCCCTGATATGTACCTATGAAATACTTTACAAGGGAAATACAGTTAGTTTATCAAGTCTGTGTACACATTTTAATCTTCAATAACTTTGCATCTACATAGGATAGAAACAATCTGGAAATGACATATAAAAGGAAAATTTATCAAGCTTTAAAGTATAGTCGTCAAGGGGTTAAATCATCGTCGTCAAGGGGTTAAATCATCGTCGTCAAAGGGTTAAATCATCGTCGTCAAGGGGTTAAATCATCGTTGTCAAGGGGTTAAATCATCGTCGTCAAGGGGTTAAATCATTGTCGTCAAAGGGTTAAATCATCGTCGTCAAGGGGTTAAATCATTGTCGTCAAGGGGTTAAATCATCGTCGTCAAAGGGTTAAATCATCGTCGTCCATGGGTTAAATCATCGTCGTCAAGGGGTTAAATCATCGTCGTCAAAGGGTTAACACAATCACTGTTTACATTTGAAGTTTCCAACATGATCATCATTTAACACGATACATTGTCCATAGCGGGTATAGAAGCAGTCAATTAAACACGTGCCGATAACACCATCGACGCTGTGTTATGTCTGATATTGGCTTTATCTTATTTCAGAGTAGAGACAGAGGGACAATAACACAAATTGTACGGTGTTTTCCTACCTTGTTTAACCCATTGCTTCTATAACCTAACCCCCCCCAGCTCTCTCTAACTCACTACTACCCCCTCTCTAATTCACTACTAACCCCTCTCTCACTACCACAACCCCCTCTCTCTCTCATGCAAGATAGTGGTAATCAGGTGGGAAGCTAGAAACGTGTACAGCAATTGTGGTAAACCTTTATATAATTTACCTTGCATTCATACCAAGGAAAGCAAATAGTTACACATTATATACTAAATAATAATTAATAAGAGAAAATGATAAGGAAAATAAAAAGAGAAATCTAAATAGAAACTGGAACTCGAGAGCGATTGACGGCACAAAGTTGAGAAGAAAGAAGTGAAATATTCATGGGGGTGTGTGTGGGTATACCGGCCCGGGTCCAGCTCCCAATCTATTTTGGCTGGAGGCCGGGGTATGCAAAGCCTGTGTACAAAATAAACGACCGACGGACACACGAGGCCGATTTAATCACGGTTCACTTGTGCAGAAGGCCGGAGCGAACGACGGGGAACGCGAAACTAAGAGCGATGAGTTAGGATGAGTTAGGTTAGGTTATTTTTTTACGGGGATTAGCCCACCCGGGCACAGGTAACTGACCCACATCGGTGCCAGGGAGGCGAAAATATATAATAATAATAATAATAATAATAATAATAATAATAATAATAATAATTAAAACAAAATACAATTTATAATAAAAAATAAGAAATAATAATAACACAAATAAATAACCATAAATAATTACATATATGAAAAAAATCAAGAGTGAGAAACAATATACTGTATATGTTGTGTTGACTAAGTAAGATAAACAATTGAGACCCTGCAATTGTGTGTAAATGATGCAGAAAGTCAGATCAGCAACCTGGGATACCTCCCTGTTTGGTAGCTGCCTACTGCCTAAGAAGGTTTGGTTAGATCAGGGTTAGGTGAACGGTGAGGGGAAACTTACAGTGCACGGTGAGGGTGACGTTGGTGGTGAGGGGTCGAGGCAGTTGATCACTTGACACTCTACACTCATACACTGCTCCATCCTCCGCCCGCGCTGCCGTTACTATCTGCCTGGCGCTCACTCCTTTAGTAGTAATAGGCGTGGTGGTAGTGGTTGTCTCTAGCTCCGGGGTCTTCATGAGGTGGGTGAGGGCCAGGTTGAGTGGGCGGCCGTGTCTGTACCAGGTGACCCAAGGGCGTGGCCGACCACCTACCACCTGACATATCAAGGTGCGCTGCTGCCCCTCTACTAACACCTCACCTGTGACGTAACCAGTAATGACAGGTGGCCCAGGTGGGTCTGTACCAGGGAAAGGGAAGTTATCATTAGTATTTGTTTCAGTGAGATCCTATTCATACATTGTTAACAAAGATTCAGTAGTTCATGTATACCTCATTCCGAGTATATATATTTACATACATATACTGTGCACCTGATTCTCCTCGGGGAAGTATACATGTAATATTCGTTAATGAACTAAACACGAATTCCAAACATTACAATATACAGTTCATCTCAGGGTAAAAGAACGCCGACAAGTTCAATCTTTTGCGCCATCCACCTTGAACAATCATGAACAACTTCTTACAACTCCTGAACAACTTTACTTACACAACACTTAACATCTGATTTATTTTCTTCAGTATCTATCCAGTACACGAGGGACATAAGTACAGGTTTAGTTCCTAGGTCGTATATTGTGTGTTTTATCAATAAGAAGTACATCATTAACGGCTTTCCATCTGTCTCTATTACTCACCTAACCCCTCAGGCAGCTCTACCAGTGTACACCCACCAATTGTTTCTTTATTGTTATTCACAAATTGAAGAACTTATTAAGGGAATACCATTAAAAATTCCTTTAGGGTAATATTCACAACAAGACCACGAAAAATGTTCAAAAGTGAGTGTGTGAGAGTGTGTGTGTGTATGTGTGTGTGTGTGTGTGTGTGTGTTACCGCCTTCTCTTCTCGGCTCATACAAGAGTAATGTTTTATAGACCGACTAAACTACCTTCTTCACACGATCAACTTCTCAAGAGACTTACAACGTGAACACCACCCGAGCGGCTCATATAAGATCTTGGGTAAAATAATAATAATAAAAAAAAAAAACTCTCCCTTAACACCAAAATGGTCTGTGAGGTTAAGGAAAACTATGAAACTTTGGTCCAACTTAACAGACAGACGGACATGACCACACCATAAAAGACCTCCGCTGTGTGTAACAAAACCTAAAAGTTGGTATAACATTTTCTTTGGATCAACGTGAAATTTTTCCGTAGTTAGAATAGTCTCATTGTTTTTTGGCCAATGTTGTCGTTACACACACACACACACACACACACACACACACACACACACAGAGTTAAGGAGATTGATAGTCGATAGAGAGGCAATCAATTTTGGTCACATGAAGCAGAAGTATATGTGAAAAGTCTGCGAGTGGCGCCACGACCCCCTGTGTTGTGTTGGCGGAGTCTATCGCGTCACGTTTGAAACACAACTTCAACCCCGAATTCTGAACCTCGGCACCGAACCCCATATCCTGAACCTCGACACCGTACCCCGGCATTAAATCCCGAATCCTGAACCCGGCACCGAACCTTGAACTCAAACCCCGTGCAAATAATGAAACAACATTTCTTTGACCCCTAAAATAATTTTGGCTTACTTAACAACAGTCACAGATACTTAAAATATTCATAAAGTCATAATACCTTCAATAATAACAATTTACAACAGCATTTTACCCTTTAATGCCTACATTAAATGCTGGTATTTACAACATTTTCCCCCACCTAGATTTCCAATAAATAAATGCTCGTACTGATGAAAAATAACCTGTGAACACCCTCATTTAATTACCAGTCAATACCTTCAATTAACGCAGGTATTTACATTAGTTTATCCATTAATACCTCTAAGCTATCGCTAATTTACACCATTCATATTGTATTTACGGCATTCATTTTAGAGTTAATTAAGGCAGGAATTTACAACATTAGCTTACCTGCTCATTACCTCAGCAGCTAGCAACACCTGAGCCAGATTTTACCGTAATTAAAGAATCGTATTTTCAAAGGCTCACATTATAAAGGGAAAAATTCTTGTAACCAGAGCTGGATTTTCAGAACAAAACAGCGGGTGCATTAGATTAAGTTCGGGTAAGTTAAGTTGAGTGAGGTTAGAGATGTTACGTTAAGGATAAGTTAGGTTGGGTTACGGATATGTTTAGGATAAATTAGGTCAGGTTAGTGATAAATTAAGTTAAGTTACATTAGGGAGAGTTGCGTTAGGTTAAGTTAGGTTGAGTTAGGTTAATGCTGGTTTAAGTTAGGTTAAGGATAAGTTAGGATACATTCGGTTATGTTTGGGATATGCTGGGTTAAATATATATGAGAGAGAGAGAGAGAGAGAGAGAGAGAGAGAGAGAGAGAGAGAGAGAGAGAGAGTGTGTGTGTGTGTGTGTGTGTGTGTGTGTGTGTAAGATGCCTCTTGGCTTCTTAAAACTACACACAAACCGCTGTTTTTCCAGTAGATTAAATACATTGTTCTGAATCCACCGAAAGAAAAAAAGAAAGAAATGAGAAATAAAGAATGGTAATAGGCAAGATGGAGAGAAAGAAAGAAGAGAGAAGAGACGGAAGAGGAGAAAGAGATATATGAAGAAAGGGGAGAGAAGAGACGGGGAGATAATTAGCGTAGAGGGAGAGACAGGAGAGAACCAACTACCCATCTCTCAGGAGGAAAGAGACGCCGAGAGAAGATTGGACACAGGAACAGTCGGCTTTAAAGTCTTGTTATATATCTGGTTAAAAAGAGTGTGTTACTCTCACCAACCAACACCTCTTTCACCACACCACCAACACCACACCACCAACACCACACCACCATCACCACACCACCTACACTTCCTCCTTCACCACTACTCCACCTCACCACCTCCTCCACTCAACGTCCTCCACCACTTCATCCCCTATACTTCTTCCTCCTCCTCCTACTCCACCACTCCACCACCACTACACTTCCTCCTCAACCTCACCTCCACCAAACCAACTCCACCACACCACCAAAAAAGACCCACATTTTTTTTTCTTCCTCACTCTCAAACAAAGATACAATTCCCATGGCAAGAGAGAGGCGGCCTTCCACAACAGCTATGGGAAATACAAGTGAGATTTGCATAGGAATCTTAGCACTGGGGGGGAGACTTGAGGCGTGACAAGGTTGTTCAAGACTACTGTTACAGGGGTGTGCAGACAAACTAATTAACTGACTGACTGATTGACTGATTTATTAACTAATTTACCGATTGACTGATTAATTGACTGATTTATTAACTAATTTATTGACTGACTGATTACCTAATTAACTAACTAAACACCTACCTAAACTAATTCACAACCAACCTACCATATCATTCCCCCCCGCACTTTACCACCAATACACCCCCACACACACCTTACCACCCAACACCCCCCACACACACACCTTACCACCAACACCCCCCTCCCATACGTTACCACAACACCCCACACCTTACCACCAATGCCCCCTCCCCCCACACACACCTTACCACCAACACCCCCCACACACACACCCTGTACCCCCACACACCCACCCCACCACCAGCACCCCCACACACACACACACATCACCACCAACATCCCCCCACACACACCTTACCACCAATACCCCCCCACACACACACACCTTACCATGTACCCCCACACACCCTTTGTGTCCCTGGGTTTAAATCATCGTCCTCAAGGGTTAAGCCATCGTCCTCAGTCCTCAAAGGGGTTAAATCAACATCTGTCAAAGGGATTTAATCATCGTCTCAAAGGGTTAAGCCATCGTCCTCAAAGGGTTAAATCATAGTCCTCAAAGGGTTAAATCATCATCCTCAAAGGGTTAAATCATCGTCCTCAAAAGGGTTAAAACATCGTCCTCAAAGGGTTAAATCATCGTCGTCAAAGCATTAAATCATCGTCCTCAAAAGGGTTAAATCATCGTCCTCAAAGGGCTAAATCATCATCCTCAAAGGGTTAATCATAGTCCTCAAAGGGGTTAAATCATTGTCCTCAAAGGGTTATATCATAGTCCTCAAAGGGGTTAAATCATCGTCCTCAAAGGGGTTAAATCATCGTCCTCAAAGGGCTAAATCATCATCCTCAAAGGGTTAATCATAGTCCTCAAAGGGGTTAAATCATTGTCCTCAAAGGGTTAAATCATAGTCCTCAAAGGGGTTAAATCATAGTCCTCAAAGGGGTTAAATCATCGTCCTCAAAGGGCTAAATCATCATCCTCAAAGGGTTAATCATAGTCCTCAAAGGGGTTAAATCATCGTCCTCAAAGGGGTTAAATCATCGTCCTCAAAGGGCTAAATCATCGTCTTCTAGTATTTAAAGGTATCTAATATGACTCAGTTTTGTGTAAAGGATTAACTTAAGCTAAAACACAATACCAACTCCTTAAAATTAGCATCGAAATTACATATACGTTCACTTAATACTTTTACTTACTTTTAAGGTATTTAACTCTTAATATAATGGGTATCACTTTATGAAGGGGTATACTCAAGTGAGCCATCCAGCTTATTTCACCTAACCTAACCTTAACTCTGGTAAGTAAAACAATCAATTAACAGCACAGGTAGTAATTAATACCAGGTAGTAATTAACAGCCCAGGTAGTAATTAAAAGCCCAGGTAATAATTAACAGCCCAGGTATTAATTAACATCCCAGGTAGTAACTAAAAGCCCAGGTAGTAATTAACAGCACAGGTAGTATTTAACAGCCCAGGTAGTATTTAACAGCACAGGTAGTATTTAACAGCACAGGTAGTATTTAACAGCACAGGTAGTATTTAACAGCTCAGGTAGTATTTAACAGCCAGGTAGTATTTAACAGCACAAGTTAGAGTATTGTGTTAACTTTAAACTTTGCTCACAGTCCCAATTGAACGAAACAGACATTGAATAAGGTCTACCTCCCCTAACTGCCGATGATAACAATTACAGTTAAAACTACTGGTGTGTGCCAGGAAGGTGTAGGGAGTGCCAGGGAGGTGTAGAGAGTGCCAGGGAGGTGTAGAGAGTGCCAGGGAGGTGTAGAGTGTGCCAAGGTGTAGAGTGTGCCAGGAAGGTGTAGGGAGTGCCAGGGAGGTGGGGAGTGCCAGGGAGGTGTGAGAGTGTCAGGGAGGTGTGAGAGTGCCAGGGAGGTGTATAGAGTGCCAGGGAGGTGTAGAGAGTGTCAGGAGGAAGAGTCAGGAGGTAGAGAATGCCAGGGAGGTGTGTGAGGTGCCAGGGAGGTAGAGAGTGCCAGGAGGTGTAGAGAGCAGGAGGTGTGTAGAGAGAGAGTGCCAGGGAGGTGTATAGAGGTCAGGAGATGTAGAGAGTGCCAGGAGGTGTGAGAGAGTGTCAGGAGGTAAAGAGTGTCAGGGAGGTGTAGAGAGGCCAGTGTGAGAGAGAGGCCAGGAGAGAGAGTGAATTAAAAATACTATAAACAAAAAACTTTAAAACACTAAACAAACACTTTAAAACCCTACAAACAAACACTTTAAACACACAAACAAAACTCTAAAACACTACAAACAAACACTTAAAACACCACAAACAAACACTCTAAAACACTACAAACAAACACTTAAAACACTACAAACAAACACTTTAAAACACTACAAACAAACACTTTAAAACACTACAAACAAACACTTTAAAACACTACAAACAAACATTTGCTCTTAAGGCGAAAGGAAACAAAAACAGCATAATAAAGAGAGGAAGTGAAAGAGAGGATTGATGGTAAAACTGTGTAGGTGATGGTGAGGGGTGATGGGAGGGGTGGTGGTGAGGTGATGAGGGTGGTGGTGAGGGGTGGTGGTGAGGGGGTGGCGAGGTGATGGCGAGGGGTGATGGTGAGGGTGAGAGGTGAGGGGTGATGGTGAGGTGAGGAGGTGATGGTGAGGGGTGATGGGAGGTGGGAGGGGTGAGGGGTGATGGTGAGGGTGATGGAGGGGTGATGGTGAGGGGTGAGAGGTGATGGCGAGGGGTGATGGTGAGGGGTGAGAGGTGATGGGTGAGGGGGGTGAGAGGGGTGATGGGTGAGGGGTGAGAGGTGAGGGGAGAGAGGGATGGTGAGGGGTGAGAGGTGGTGGTGAGGGGTGATGGTGAGGGGTAAGGGGTAATGGTGAGGGGTAAGGGGTGATGGTGAGGGGTGATGGTGAGAGGGATGATGGTGAGAGGGATGATGGATGATGGTGAGGGATGAAAGAATGAATGGATGGACGGACGTTATCACTATCTCTCTCTCCTTCTCCTCTTCGTCTTCCTCCTCTCCGTCTTCCTCTTCCTCAGAAATATTGTTACAAATAATAATAATGTTGGTGGTTAGATCTAAGAATGCTGTTATTGTAAGTGGGTTCAAGGTTCTCTACCCTAAAACACTACGAACCCCTGCTGTTATTGTAAGTGGGTTCAAGATCTCTTCCCTAATACACTACGAACCCCTGCTGTTATTGTAAGTGGGTTCAAGATCTCTTCCCTAATACACTACGAACCCCTGCTGTTATTGTAAGTGGGTTCAAGATCTCTTCCCTAATACACTACGAACCCCTGCTGTTATTGTAAGTGGGTTCAAGATCTCTTCCCTAATACACTACGAACCCCTGCTGTTATTGTAAGTGGGTTCAAGATCTCTTCCCTAATACACTACGAACCCCTGCTGTTATTGTAAGGGTTCAAGATCTCTTCCCTAATACACTACGAACCCCTCAAGGCTGTTATTGTAAGTGGGTTCAAGATCTCTTCCCTAAAACACTACGAACCCTGCTGTTATTGTAAGTGGGTTCAAGGTTCTCTACCCTAAAACACTACGAACCCCTGCTGTGTTATTGTAAGTGGGTTCAAGATCTCTTCCCAATACACTACGAACCCTGCTGTTATTGTAGGCGGGTTCAAGGTTCTCAATCTTTAAACACTACGAACCCTCTGCTGTTATTGTGTAAGTGGGGTTCAAGGTCTCACCCTACGAACCCCTGCTGTTATTGTAAGTGGGTTCAAGGTTCTCACCCTAAAACACTACGAATCCTCTGCTATTATTGTAAAGTGGGTTCAAGATCTCTTCCTAATACACTACGAACCCTGCTGTGCTATTGTAAGTGGGTTCAAGATCTCTTCCCGAATACACTACGAACCCCTCGTTGTTATTGTAAGTGGGTTCAAGATCTCTTCCCTAATACACTACGAACCCCTGTTGTTATTGTAAGTGGGTTCAAGATCTCTTCCCCTAATACACTGCACAGAACCCCTGCTGTTATTGTAAGTGGGTTCAAGATTCTTCCAAAAACACTACGAACCCTGTTGTGCTATTGTAGTGGGTTCAAGGTTCTCTACCCTAAAACACTACGAACCCCTGCTGTTATTGTAAGTGGGTTCAAGATCTCTTCCCTAATACACTACGAACCCCTGCTGTTATTGTAAGTGGGTTCAAGATCTCTTCCCTAATACACTACGAACCCCTGCTGTTATTGTAAGTGGGTTCAAGATCTCTTCCCTAATACACTACGAACCCCTGCTGTTATTGTAAGTGGGTTCAAGATCTCTTCCCTAATACACTACGAACCCCTGCTGTTATTGTAAGTGGGTTCAAGATCTCTTCCCTAATACACTACGAACCCCTGCTGTTATTGTAAGGGGATTCAAGAACTCTTATGTATACTACCAAGAACCCCTACCAGGTCTCCCACACTCAGGTTTACACTCGTCCCATAAAAGATTCTAACTCGCCCGAACTAATATGAACATCGCTCTCTTCTCCGCCTCACAAAGTCAATGGGACGATGTTATTAGGGAAGAATTTGATGCGTTATAACCTGGGTCAAAATAATTTCCGATTAATGACTAATACCGTGGTGTGTATTCTTCTATTTATTGTTGATATGTGGCTAATGGCTTTGTTATTTGTTGTTATTGATACTGGTATTGCTTGATATAGTTCGTTGTTATTGTTGTTGGTTGTTATTATTATTATTGTTGGATATTGTTATTGTTGTTATTGGTTGTTTTTGTTGTTGTTTATTATTATTGCTGTTATTGTGATTATTTATTATTCATGTTATTGGTGTCGTTATTATTATTATATTGTTATTTGTATTATTGTCATATATTTTAGGCAGGTCAGTTATCAGAGATATTCTTTTTTTTTTTATCGAATTCTTTATTATTTCATAACTTTCCCAACGGATAAAAATCAGGCCATCTTTATTTCATGTGGCGCTGACAGACGTGTTGCAGAGGTCACCATGATTCAAGAATGAGCTGCTAGAGACCGCTGCTTGTACTGACGGGGAAAAAAAATATTGCCGATTTTTTTATATTTCAACGAAAATCCCGAAATTCAGCTGAGAATTCGAGTGGGTCTGAGCTGAACCTGTTGGCTAAAGAAGATTTATACGGATTCTTTGAGTGTTTTTATAATTATAGAAGAAAATGAAGGTTAGACTGAGCGTTAGGTTGTTTTACTCATCACGCGAAATAAGCTGGGGTGCCTAATCTTCAGGTGATCCATAAATTGTCTATTTATTCAATGATTTAGTGATGAGAAACCAAGGAACATAATTATAATAAGCTTAAGTAAATGTCAATTCAGTATCCTAGCAAGGTGTGAAGTATAGGAGGTGCTTGTTTGTTCCTGTCCCCTGGGTGAGGGAGAGCCAATCACCGGACGTCATTTTATAAACACGTCACGGAAGGAAAGAACCAATCAGCAGACATCATTTCATTATGACGTCATGGCACAACATCGATACATGCTTACAGATAAATTGTCACCCCCCCTTCTCCCTCCTTCCCTCAAGCATTCATATTACAGAGGAGGAAGCAAACTCACGCAAGACGGCGAGGTTGACGGAGGCGACTAGTGTGGTGGGTGAGTGGTGGAGGACGGGGTGGAGGGCCTGACATGAGTACTGCTGACCGTCATCTTCCGCCTCAGGGTGCAGCAACAGGCGGCTCCTCACACTCCATTTCCGGGGCTCTTTGGACGCTACCACCACCTCCTGATGCATCCCTGCCGGCGACGATGAAGGAGGCAGTGAGATGGTGTTACTCTGGCTATCTGTTTTAAGAACTGTCTCTTTTATATGACAGCACAATGGTAATAAATGATAGCGAAGGTGGCGGGACTAACCTAACCTAACTTAACGGGTGGTAATTCTTCAGAGGTGGAGAGGAGAGGATATGAATCATCAAGTAAACCTAAAACTAAACATCTATATAACGTTAAACCATCGTCCTCAAAGGGTTAACTGGTAATCTAAAAAGACTTCCTTGTGTGTTAAGTCACGGCACCTTTTTTTCTACGCTACTCCCACTCGCTTCCCTTACCCTCCCACTGGTACTTGTTTTTTACTACTACTGTTAGACCTCCTCTTAGCCTGCCACCACTCGAGGCTTCACCAGGAGGTACTAGGGGAAGGTGGGGGAGAAACAGTGTGAGAGAGAGAGTGAGTGTGGGGGAGTGTGGGGGAGGGAGGGGGTGTGAGGGAGGAAAGGCGTGTGGGGGAGGGGTGAGGGAGGGAGATGAGCAGCCATAGTCATTCACTGTCCTATCAGCTGATGGATTTAATAACAAACATCATCTTTAATGGCCTCACTGACTCGTTTACTGACCATCTTAATACCATCATCAGCCCCGTAATGTTGTCTTATGGCCTGTCTCAAGTTGTACTCAATAATGGTGCGCCCCGCCTGGTCCAACCCGCTCTCTCTCCTACCAGTATAATGACCTGAGATAAGATGATGACCTGGTGAGATGATGATGACCTGGTGATAAGCTTATAGACTGGTTCAAGATGATGACCCGATGACAAGCTTATAGACTGGACCAAAGATGATGACCTGATGACCTGGTGATAAGCTTATTGATTGGTCCAAGATAATGACCTGATGACCTGGTAAGTTTTGTGACTAGCTCAAGTTTGATGGATGACCTGTAAGACCTGCGAGACCTGAAATTTAAGATCAGACTCACCTGGGAGGGACACAACAAGACACAGGTATAACTCAACTCACCTTGATGGAGGGCAATGGCGTCTCTGTACCAGGTGACAGTGGGTGGAGGGCGGGCGTCCGTCACCAGACACTCCAGGTATAAAGCATCACCAGCTACCACCTCCACCACCTCCCCGTCACCGACACCCACCACGCTGATACTCGTAGGCGACACTGACGAAGGATAATACACCGTGACGTCTGATTATTACCATACAGTGGAGAGTTATTATAGAATACATTAAGCCATACCAACCTAGTCAGATTGTCGTGTTAATATGCATGAATCACCCTTCGCTCTGTAATAAGCTAATCAAGACCTCTAAGAAAATTTCTTTTACCAAGTTTCTCAATGGAATCGATTGAAATTTCACAAAGTTATGACATTAAAACCAAACTTGAACCAACATCTTAAACAAAATGCTCTCTCTCTCTCTCTCTCTCTCTCTCTCTCTCTCTCTCTCTCTCTCTCTCAGTACTGCCATGCCCTTGGCCACTTTTCCTACACTACCAACCCTAACAATACAGTTAACTCAATTCTACTTTCCTCTACATCCTCTTACATCGAGGAGAAGGAAGAGGAAGAGGAAAGGGACGAGGAAGAGGAAAAGGATGATGGAGAGGAGGAAGAAATGAAGAAATAGAACAAGATAAAGATAAGGAGGAGGGGGACAACAAATAAAGGGAAAACTTAATTCTTCTTCAATACCTAACACAAATGTTCCAAATTATTTCGTACCGTCAGTTTACTATTGTGTGTGTATGACCAACTACCTCTGAGGGTGTTGCTGGAGCCTCAACACACAACCTCCCCCTAGGCGATGTTTAGAAGGCGGTTCCATATATAACTTCCCCTGGTGACTATAGTACAAGCCGAAGCCAGCAAGTTTATGTGCTAAGAGCTGTGAGCGTTAGTTATATCCCCCGTACACCTTAAAAGTTGTGATATAGCCGACCTGCAGCTCAGGATAAGCGAGGTGCCCAGCTTGCAGGGATGAGACTCTGTAAGAGCTCGTTAAAGATAAGGAATCACACCTCAGACACAGACGTAATGCATGTTGTTAAAGGAGGAGTTGTGGAAGATGTGTTCCTCTCGTGAAGTTAACACAGAGACTCGGGGGAACACATCTCCCGCCAGCCGCGACCCCACTGAGTGCCATCACCAGTTGATGTTCTTCCTGAACGGAAGATGACCCGCAATAAACTGTATATTCATGAAGATGCAACGATCCTAACGTTGTCTGGAAGACACAGACAGACAGACACAGTGAATTTTGTTACTAAAAGGAAACAAAGATGTCACAAAGTGGGTAAATACCACACACCACGACACAGTTCACGGATCCATAATTCTGGAGAATAATGACAATTTGATTCTCAGACAGAATTTAAATAATTAATTGTTTTTTTTTAAGAGTTATCGTGTTCCTAACTGCTGGCGGCACTGACAGTCGATGCGTTCTAGTCCCGGGTGGTGGTAGACAACAAGTACTGTACGTCAAAACACTCCTTCCTGCAGCAGACAACTCCATAGCCGTTTGTCAGTCCACCTACAGTGCTCCGACGGCCTCGTAACCCTCAGTGTTTAGCTGGAAAACAACCCGCAGTGTCAGGGTGGGTAAACGCGACCCCTCACCCTCATCTCTGCTACGGTGGATTCTTGTCTGGTTGAGTGGATGATCTATCGTTTTCTGCTCATCTTGAAGAGAGAAAATAATCAAACTCACCCTACACCCTCGCCCTACACTACCACCCTCACCCTACACTACCACCCTCACCCTACACCCTCACCCACCCTCCCTCACCCTACACCACCACCCTCACCCTCACCCTACACCACCACCCCTTACCCTACACTACCACCTCACCCAACACCACCACCCTCCCACCCTACACCACCACCCTCACCCCACACTACGGCCCTCACCCTACACTACCACCCTCACCCTACACCACCACCCTCACCCTACACTACCACCCACCCTACACTACCACCCTCACCCTACACTACCACCCTCACCCTACACCACCACCCTCACCCAACACCACCAGTCCACCACCACCCTCCCTCACCCTACACCACCACCCTCACTACTCACCATCAGATATGCGTTAGACTGTGTCAACATTACTCAGGGGAGACACGCCTAAATGGACTAACTGGTTCTAATTAACACCAAACTTCAATGTAACACAAACAGACAACCAGAACCAATTTCTATATATATCCCGTCAGGTGCTTTGGAACGGTGGATAATAAAGCTCGACTCAGTTTACGTTTGGTCACGTATGCTGTGTCAGGTCAGGTCAGGTCATAAAGAGACAGCGAAACGATAAGGTCTGAGATTTAAGAAGTTCGAGTTTGTGTCACATTTTGTTGAAGTATAAAACGGCTCCATAAATCCTGTATTAATAGTCAAAGTAAATATTTTCACCGTGTACACCTTCATTTGTTGCTGGTCATCCTTCTCCCTGTTCTTCCATCAATCTACAACCTGAAAACTGAAAACAGCTAAGTGAATCCTAGTGGCTAAGTCATGACAGCTTAGTGGTATAGTGACCACTTAAGCTTTCAGTGCGCAAGGAGACAGCCTGGCCGATAGTGCACTCAGTCGCTTTCACTTTCCTGAATATTAAGTCAGGTACCCGTTTACAGCTGGGTGAACTGGGAGTGTCCAGGAAACTCTTAAGACATGAGGACAACGTTGTGTCCACTCCACCGCCTCACCAAAATATACAGCTAACCCGCCTCTTATCACACTTCTAAACAAATGTCTTTATTTGTCTTACTCATACATAAGGCAGTGGCTACATGTACCTTGATTGTACACCAAGTGTCTTCAGAGGAGGCATTGTGACGTGTCTACCCCCCTCCCCACCCTCAGGTAACTTCCCAGTTCGTCTACTCCTACAGCGTCTACTCTCGAAGTGGCTGTTATTCCAGTTTGGTCTACATCCCATCACATTATTTTTATTCTTATTATACAGACAAAATAATTAAATGTTAAAAAGGGAGAAAATAACCGAGGATATTGTCAGAAGTTACAGAAGAACAAGGTTTTATATATATAATGCATATATCGCAGTGGCTATTAAGCAGTCACTGGTTGAATAGCCTGGTAGTCTACGCAGCCGTGGGACGGCTACAAAGACAGCCAGGCTATTCAGCCGTGAACACAAACATATTACCAGCTGTATATCTGTAACTAGATATACTTTATACAATTTCTACTAAATATGCCGGAGGTTCCAGTTAAGAAGTTAAATTAGGTAGGTTAGGTTAGGTCACATTCCGTTAGGTTCCGTGCATTGTCATTTCCATCTTCTTGCTTAGTATCAGCAAATAACCTCTCCAACATCTCCAGCAATATTGGTGCAATTCTAGAAACTCCTTCAGGTGCTGACCGTCTCCTCCACCATTACCTCTCGTCCGCTAAACCACTACAAAGATCAAAATACATCGTCACACGTCAGTTATTAGTTCATACGGGATAACGTTCTCTCTGGGGCCTTGCATAAATTACTTTAAAGTCATGCTAATATTTCTAACATTTGATGAGCCCTACACACGGAAGATGAGCCACACACACTACCCCACAAGACAACACCCCCCACCACGGAAGATGAGCCACACAGGAAGATAGAGCACACTACCCCACCACGGAAGATGAGCCACACCTACACCACGGAGATAGAGTCACACACTACCCCCACCACGGGCACCACCCCACCACGAGATAGACACACTACCCCACCACGGAAGATGAGGTCACACACACTACCCCACCACGGAAGATAGAGCCACACACTCCCCACCACGGAAGATAGAGTCACACACCCTACCACTGAAGATGAGTCACACACCACCCCCCACGGAAGATAGAGCCACACACCCCACCACGGAAGATAAGTCACACACTACCCCTACGGAAGATAGAGCCACACACTACCCCCACCACGGAAGATAGAGTCACACACTCCCCTACACGGAGATAGAGTCACCACCCCCACCACGGAAGATAGAGTCACACACACTACCCCCACCACGGAGATAGAGCCACACTACCCCCCACCACGGAAGACAGAACACACTACCCCCCACCACGGAGACAGGCACACACACCCCACCACGGAAGATAGAGCCACACACTACCCCCACAGAACAGGCCACACACTACCCCCACCACGGAAGACAGGGCCACACACACACTACCCCCACCACACACAGAGACAGAGCCACACACACTCCCCACCACGGAGATGAGTCACACCACCCCACCACAGCACACAGAAGGGGGCCACACACTACCCCCGCAGAGATAGGGCCACACTACCCCCACCACGCAAGATGAGGCCACACTACCCCCCACCACGGAAGATGAGGCCACACACTACTACCACGGAAGATGGGGCTACCCCCACACGGAGACAGAGCCACACACTACCCCCACCACGGAAGATGGGGCCACACACTACCCCACACAGAGATGAGGCCACACTACCCCCACCACGGAAGATGGGGCCACACACTGCCCCCACCACAGGAAGATGGGGCCACACACTCCCTCACACACCACCCCCCACCACGATGGAGCCCACACACTACCCCCACCACACAGAAGATGAGGGCCACACACTACCCCACCACAGAAGATGGGGCACACACTACCCCCACCACGGAAGATGGGGCCACACACTACACACACACAGAAGATGAGGCCACACTACCCCACCACAGAGATGACACACACCCCCGCAGAAGATGGACACACACTACCCCCACCACAGAAGATAGAGCCACACACCCCCACCACAGAAGATGAGCCACTACCCTACCACGGAAGATAGCCACACACTACCCCCACCACACAGAAGATAGACACTACCCTCATCAAGACAAGGGAGAATTTAACGACTAAGGAGGAAGGGAGGAAATGTTCTAATGGACCATTGGATTGTCCCGATTATTTCGGTCTTCATAATTATCACTCTAAATTTATTCATGAGGAAAGACCAGGTGTGGGAGCAGGTGGGAGGTGTGGGTGGAGTAGGTGGAGGAAAGGGGGAGGAGCAGGTGGGAGGAGCAGTCGAGGAGCAGGTGTGGAAGGAGCAGGCGTGGGAGGAGCAGGGCGTAGGGAGGAGAAGGGGGAGAGGTGTGGGAGGAAAGGGGAGGGAGCAGGTGGGAGGGAGAGAAAGTGTGGGAGGAGGGGGGAGGAGCAGTCGGGAGGGGAGTGGGGAGGAGAAAGAGAGGGAGGAAGGGGGGAGGGAGAAAGTGTGGGAGGAGAAAGGTGTGGGAGGAATGGGAGGAAATGTGGGAGGAACAGGTGTGGAGAGGAGCAGGCGGGGAGGAGAAAGGGAGGAGAAAGGGAGTAGGGAGGCAGGTGGGAGTAGGTGTGGGAGATCAGGTGGGAGTATTGTGTGTGGGAGGAGAGGGGGAGGATTAGGTGGGAGGAGAGGGGAGGAGAAACTGTGGGAGGAGCCGGCGTGGGAGGAGCAGGCGGGAGAATCAGGTGTGGGAGGAGCAGGCGTGGGAGGAGTAGGGAGGATTAGGGAGGAGCAGGGAGCAGGGAGGAACAGGTGGGAGGAACCGGCGTGGAGGGAGCAGGCGTGGGAGAAGCAGGAGGAGCAGGCGTGGGAGGAGTAGGTGTGGGAGGATTAGGTGGGAGGAGCAGGGAGCAGGTGTGGGAGGAACAGGCGGGAGGAGCAGGCGTGGGAGGAGCAGGCGTGGGAGGAACAGGCGGAGGATCAGGCGGGAGAAGCAGGCGGTAGCCAACCCCCACGGTGACAGGAGAACTAGACCCCATGAAGAGGAAGCCAGGACTTACCCATGACAGTGACAGCTAGGACCCATGACACTGACAGCTAGGACTCACCCATGACACTGACAGCTAGAACGAACCCATGACAGTGACAGCTAGGACTTACCCATGACACTGACAGCTAGACTTACCCATGACAGTGACAGCTAGGACTTACCCATGACAGTGACAGCTAGACTTACCGATGACAGTGACAGTAGACTTACCCATGACAGTGACAGTAGACTTACCCATGACAGTGACAGCTAGACTTACCCATGACAGTGACAGTTAGACCACCCATGACAGTGACAGCTAGGACTTACCCATGATAGACAGTTAGGACTTACCCATGACAGGAAGCTAGACTTACCCATGACAGTGACAGCTAGGATCAATGACAGTGACAGCTAGACTTACCCATGACAGTGACAGCTAGGATTACCCATGACAGTGACAGCTAGGACTTACCCATGACAGTGACAGCTAGGACTTACCCATGACAGTGACAGCTGGACTTACCTATGACACTGACAGCAAGGACTTACCCATGACACTGACAGCAGGACCTACCCATGACACTGACAGCTAGGACTTACCCATGACAGTGACAGCTAGGACTTACCTATGACACTGACAGCAAGGACTTACCCATGACACTGACAGCAAGGACTTACCCATGACACTGACAGCTAGGACTTACCCATGACACTGACAGCTAGGACTTACCTATGACACTGACAGCTAGGACCTACCCATTACAGTGACAGCTAGGACTTACCCATGACAGTGACGTTAGCAGCGGTCCAGATAGGGAGGGAGGTGAGGGTAGGGCCGACCTGACACTGGTATTCCCCGTCATCTTCCAACGTCACGCCCTTGATGATCAGATAATGCTGACCCTTACTAGCGTCCCCCAGGTACCTGTAGCGGGGGTAGCCGGGCACGTGGCGCTTAAACCCTGCAGGAGGAGATGATGGTGTTAGTGGCGCTTAAACCCTGGAGGAGGAGATGATGGTGTTAGTGGCGCTTAAACCCTGGAGAAGGGGATGATGGTGTTAGGAGTGTTGGTGGTAGTAGTGGTGGTAGTGGTAGTAGTAATGGCACTGGTGATAGTACTGGGAGTAGATGAATTGGTGAAAGTGGAAGTGATGATAATGGTGGTGTTACTAGTGGTAGTGGTGGTCGTGATAGTGGTGGTCGTGATAGTGGTGGTAGTAGTAATGGTGGTGGTCGTGATAGTGGTGGTAGTAGTAATGGTGGTGGTCGTGATAGTGGTGGTAGTAGTAGTAGTGGTGGTCGTGATAGTGGTGGTAGTAGTAATGGTGGTGGTCGTGATAGTGGTGGTAGTAGTAGTAATGGTGGTGGTGGTGGTGGTGGTAGTAGTAGTGGTGGTGGTGGTAGTAGTAGTGGTGGTGGTAGTAGTAGTGGTGGTGGTAGTAATAGTAGTGGTGTTAATGGTAGTAGTAGTGATGGTAGTCGTAATAATGGTGGTGGTAGTAGTGGTGGTGGCGATAATGGTGGTGATAGTGGCAGTGTTCCAGCAACAACCACAACTCTGTCATTACATCAATACAGTGTTGACTCAGGGTGTTACCACAGTCGACACACTCCGGGTAAAACAAACACACGCTAATTGGGTGTTGCTGTGTCACATTATCCCCATACTGTCATAACTCCCTCACTACCACCTCCCTCCCTCACTACCACCTCCCTCCCTCACTACCTTCTCCCTCCTTCACTACCATCTCCCTCCCTCACTACCATCTCCCTCCCTCACTACCATCTCCCTCCCTCACTACCATCTCCCTCCCTCACTACCACCTCCCTCCCTCACTACCATCTCTCCCCTCACTACCTTCTCTCTCCTTCACTACCATCTTCTTCTCCCTCACTACCATCTTCCTCCCTCACTACCACCTCCCTCCCTCACTACCACCTCCCTCCCTCACTACCACCTCCCTCCCTCACTACCACACGACTGTCTCCCTCCCTCCCTCACCTCCCCAACAATCTTCCTCACACTTCACTCCCACCTCACTCACTAATTCTTGGAACCAAAACCTAACCTAACTTACACTAACTTCACACCTAACCTAACCTAACCAGACGTACACTAACTTCACACCTAACGTAACCAGACGTACACTAACTTCACACCTAATCTAACCTAACCTAACCTAACGTACACTAACTTCACACCTAACCTAACGTACACTAACTTCACACCTAACCTAACGTACACTAACTTCACACCTAACCTAACGTACACTAACTTCACACCTAACCTAACGTACACTAACTTCACACCTAACCTAACCTAACCAGACGTACACTAACTTCACACCTAACGTAACCAGACGTACACTAACTTCACACCTAACCTAACCTAACCAGACGTACACTAACTTCACACCTAACGTAACCAGACGTACACTAACTTCACACCAAATCTAACCTAACCTAACCTAACGTACACTAACTTCACACCTAACCTAACGTACACTAACTTCACACCCAACCTAACGTAACCAGACGTACACTAACTTCACACCTAATCTAAGTTCTCCCAACACACCCGCCGTTGCCTCAGCCGCCCTTTCCTGCTGAAATACGTTGTTCTAATTCAATTGTAGTGAGTTTGTTAGTGTACCGAGTATTGCTGATGGTGGTAGGTAGTGGTTGTTGGTATGTGATTGTGGTAGGTAGTGGGTGCTGGTATGTGATGGTGGTAGGTAGTGGGTGTTGGTATGTGATTGTGGTAGGTAGTGGGTGTTGGTATGTGATGGTGGTAGGTAGTGGGTGCTGGTATGTGATGGTGTTGGTTGTTGATTGTGGGCGGTTATTGTTGTTGCTGGTAGTGGTGGCGAGATGGTAGTAGGTATTGGTTATGTGATGGTGATAGTGGTGGTTGGTGTTGGTAGTGGTGGTTGGTGTTGGTAGTGGTGGTTGGTGTTGGTAGTGGTGGTTGGTGTTGGTAGTGGTGGTTGGTGTTGGTAGTGGTGGTTGGTGTTGGTAGTGGTGGTTGGTGTTGGTAGTGGTGGTTGGTGTTGGTAGCAGTGGCTGGTGTTGGTAGTGGTGGCTGGTGTTGGTAGTGGTGGCTGGTGTTGGCAGTGGTGGCTGGTGCTGATAGTGGTGGCTGGTGCTGGTAGTGGTGGCTGGTGTTGGTAGTGGTGGTTGGCTGGTGCTGGTAGTGGTGGTTGGTGTTGGTAGTGGTGGTTGGTGCTGGTAGTGGTGGTTGGTGTTGGCAGTGGTGGTTGGTGCTGATAGTGGTGGCTGGTGTTGATAGTGGTGGCTGGTGTTGGTAGTGGTGGTTGGTGCTGGTAGTGGTGGCTGGTGCTGGTAGTGGTGGTTGGTGCTGGTAGTGGTGGCTGGTGCTGGTAGTGGTGGTTGCGTTGGTAGTGGTGGCTGGTGTTGGTAGTGGTGGTTGGTGCTGGTAGGTGGTGGTTGCGTTGGTAGTGGCTGGTGCTGGTAGTGGTGGTTGGTGTGCGTAGGTGGCTGGTGCTGGTAGTGGTGGTTGTGCTGGTAGTGGTGGTTGGTGTTGGTAGTGGCTTGGTGGTGATAGTGACCAGGAGGTTGGTGCTGGTGGAAGTAGTCGAGGTAGGTCAATGTGAGGAAGTGGTGATGGGCGGTAGTGGTGATGGGCGGTAGTGGTGATGGGCGGTAGTGGTGGTGGGCGGTAGTGGTGATGGGCGGTAGTGGTGATGGGCGGTTGTGGTGATGGGCGGTAGTGGTGATGGGCGGTAATGGTGATGGGCGGTAAATGGTGATGGGCGGTAAATGGTGATGGGCGGTAGTGGTAGTTAGTGGTGGAGATCATTCAACAAGACCCAACTCTCATCATTGTACAAGCATCACCTCCCTCAACAGTCATCAGCAAGCATTGTGAGGTGTTGTGAGGCCTTGATTGGTATTGTGAGGCATTGTGAGGTGTTGTGAGATGTTGTGAGGCATTGTGAGGTGTTGTGAGGCCTTGATTGGTATTGTGAGGTGTTGTGAGGCATTGTGAGATGTTGTGAGGCATTTTGAGATGTTGTGAGGCCTTGATTGGTATTGTGAGGTATTGTGAGGTGTTGTAGCTTGGTATTCCTTGTGAGTAATCCCTTAACACTCTCCTCTGACACACCCCAAGGCACCAACACACACACCCCCTTTCCTTTATCCGTTTATACTGTATATCTCTCGGTTGTGTAAGTCGGCTGGACAGTTACGTAGAAAATATCACCTACAGAAACATATATATTTTGATTATTTTTTTTATTTTCTTTCATTTCGAGTGGATGAAAGAGAGAAAGAGAGGGAGAGAGAGAGAGAGAGAGAGAGAGAGAGAGAGAGAGAGAGAGAGAGAGAGAGAGAGAGAGAGAGAGATAGGAGGTAAGGATAAGAGATGAGAAGTGTGTAAGACGAAATATATGAAGTGAGAGGAAAATGAGGGAGGGGGAAGGGGAACAAGTAGTAGAAATGCGGTATATATCTCTCTCTCTCTCTCTCTCTCTCTCTCTCTCTCTCACATTATATAAAGTGAATCAGTAACCTTCCACACTTGATTAAAACGTTTCATGTCGACCTCCTCCCGTGTAACCTTACAGAGCCGAGTCGACCTGAGCAGCAGCAACAACAATAACTTAAAACGTACAATTTCGTGGACTGAGAATATACAAAGTGAATCCTTAACTTCCACCAGTGAAAGAGAAGGCCAGAGGCGAGTTCCACAACATCACAAAGGTGTCGTATAACTTTCTTGGCGGTTATGTTGGCTGCAGAAGTTGTCCGGTGAAACATGAAGGACAAACATCAATACAGTAACCAATACCTAGGTCAAGTTTAGAGCTTCATACACATTTGTCCAACCCCTCCCATCTCCTCCTCATGCAGTCACTGGTTATCTGTGTGTCAGAACTTGAGGTGATGGGATGGGAGGAGGGTAGAGGAGGGAGGGAGGGGAGTGGTGGAATCAGTGACCAATTAGAATGCTCTGCTTAGGCGACATCATGAAATGGGAGTTGGTAATTGGCCAATAAGGTTTCCTCTTCTCGGCTTAATGACCTCCTCGAACACACCCGGGGTCTACAATATTGTGCTTCTATATTTCAATGAGTTAAGTCCCTCGAGCCACCTGCAGCTGGTCACTGTGTTAGCCCCTAGCGGGTCTATATGAGGACTGGTCAGTTGGGTCCCAGTTATAATAGACCCCAGCCTAACTTAATTCACTTCTATTATAACCCCAGTTCTAATGGGTCCCAACCTAAGCTGAACTAATTTAACCACTAGGGTCCTGACGAGTCCCCAACTTAATCATTTCTAATCTATCTATTAGGATTGGGGCCCAGTTGATGGACCCCAGTCTTCATCAACATCAGTTCTAATGGGCCCCACACTAATAGACCTAACCCGAAACAAACCCCTTTTATTGTAGTTCAATTCTAATGGGGCCACGACCTAAGGGAACCCTGTCATAATGGGTACAAACCTAATGGTTAGGTTAGTTTAGCTTAGCTTAGGTCGGGTTCCAGTAAGGCCGGGTCCTATTAGGATTGGGGTCTATTGAGACTGGGACCTATTAAGACTGGGACCTATTGAGACAAGAACAGAACCTGTCAAGAATGGGGTCTAATAGGACTGGGGCCCATCAGGACAAGGGGTAACTCTACTCTCAGCCGTGAAACATACAAACTACAGGACCCGGCAACACCTTTGGGATGTTTACAACACTAATATCCGATGGCGGGAGTTAATGGCACCTTCGCCAGACAAGTTTACTCAAAGTTTCGCAACTCAGAACTAACTCACTGTACGAACACCCGCAGCTTGTGAACGTTCAATTCTGGACTTGACATTATCAGCGATTCTGGATTTAATATCACTGGCGATTTTGGACTTAACTTCACCACCGCTTCTGGACTTTACGTAAAATCTACATAATATCACAGCCTTTGGACTTATTTAACATAACTAAAAACA